ATGGTCAGTACCAGTCCCTTTCTTAACTGTATTGTCTTCTCTCTCTATTTTCTTCTCTCTCTCTCTAAATATTTTCTACCTTTCTCTCTCTTCTCACACTGTCTCTCTCAACACAAAGTTCATAACACTTTCAATCCAACCCATCCTGATTACTGATCGTTACTGACCCTTGAACTTGACAAAAGTATTGCCACTTCATCAGAAATTTGCCTCTTTTCAATTTCTTCAACAGTCTCTCCTTTCAACTTTCAGAAAGCAGATCGAAAACCTCTTCACCCTTCAGGGTATTTGCGCTCACATTCTTTATTTCAAAACGCATTTCATACTTCACAAATACAGAAGTCAGTTAAAAACGTCAAAAGGACAGTCATGTTATTTTAATGTTTTGTTATACTTTTGAAAATCTATAGAAGTCTAACCTTGCAAGTAGTTAATAGTTAGAATGTTGTTGCTTGAACGTCCCCGAAGTCTTGAAGCGCTCAACTATCTGAAATGAGCATACAGATTGTTTGTTTTAGTATGAAAAAAAACATTACCTACAACTCGAAAAATGATAGTGAAGCGAATATCGTTTCACAGTCAACTTCAGACAGCCGGTCAAGGCTAGCTGACCGGCTGACTGGTCGTCATGCTGGTTGACTATGAACTCTGACTCTCTTTCGGCATATCGTCCAACCAGCCAGATAGTTGCCTACCTGTTTCGTTTTCGAACCCGATTTCTACACCCCCACTTTTTTTTCTTTCCTTTGGAACAGACAACTATTCGCCTCATAATCGACCTGTTAACCAACCTGAAAATACAATCGATTGTTTCTCTTCCTCATATCTCTCGAATAATACATAAATTTACTTGTATTCCTATAATTTCCATACAAAAACATACCGAACCTAAAGCAACTATAGTGATGTGTGAGATACAAGCTTCATGTCCCATTCTATCTCTCATCTCTCTTCTACGTACACAAGAAATCTTCGCGACGTCGACGACAGTCTTCTAAAACAACAAATAATCAAACTTTTCAAATATATTTTTTCCTTTCCATTTTCCATGTTGAACAATTAGAAAATGAAATGCTCCATTCATCAACCGTATGATTCTGGCTGCTGTCATTCGTCGAAGATTACGGTAGCTGCTTGCTGCATGCTGGCTATTGGCGTAGAGTGACTGCAGATGTGATTTCTCGTCCATCGCTTACAGTCATCACAAGTTCTAAAAAGACATTTGATTAAGTAAACTAAGCAGATTTCATCAATCAACTTTTCCTTCTGTTTCCCAACAGATTTTGTTTGTTTAAACAATAAAATAGAAAAGTTGAGATTTCATGAAAGGAAAGAGGGAAAAAAGAGAAGAAGTGGAAAAAACCGATGAAAAGCTTCCGCGAAAACCGTTTGGTCGAGATAGATGACTTTCACGGTCATCTGAATCCTCGAACAAGTCCAGTTTACGTAACAACATGTGAATTCTTGTTTTCAACATTTCGGTTGAAAAGGAAAATATTTGTATGCCATATCGGTTTGAACCAATTGACTAGATCACTCAATAGCTGACCCTCTAACCCGTCATTGGCCTTCTGACGACAACCGGTCTCACCCATCATCTTCCAACCGACGGCAGCTCATCCAGTAGCCCTATCTCTACACGTCTGTCAACAACAGCTGATTCTTTCTGATAAAAAGCTTAGTATGGGCCGAATTGGAAAAGTATGAGTACAAGAAGAGTATTTTGCAGGGAACTCCTGGATTTTCGTTTTATTTTTACCCCCCCCCCTCTCTCCTATCACCACAGTAGTCCAGAAGGATGTTTTGGCGTTTTTCCTTTCAAACGCATGCCTGGCCATGACAATCATGAGTTTGTTGGCGAACAACTACAGAAAGCACATGACTTTCAACAGTTCATTTTGAATTTCATTTTCTTGTCATTTCTGAAGCTTTTTGTGCTTTCGTTGATTCCTTCTGCACAATGATTGTTCTCGTTTTTTCTTCTTTGATAACAAACTGAAAGAGAAAAAATGTCCGGCGACGAAAAGAACGTTGTTAAACGCAAAAAAGCTCCTGAAAGAATTTTTACGAGCATTCGAAAACTATATTGAATCTTCTTCAAAAGAATATTGTCCACGTGGAGGATGTCGTCGATAATTTTCATCCAAATCCATTTTTTCATTCCCATACTATCCTCTTTTCATTTCAATTATCGTTACTTCAACAGTATTCATTGGGTACGTTTCCCTGTCATCGACGTCGTCATTTTCATCCTCATCAACATCGCCTACTCTTCGTAGTCAAACTTCTCTCATCCGACGTCTTCGCCTTCTTGAACATCGTTGTCGTTGTCGTCGTCGTGTGTCCCCATTTCATTTCCTCCGGCCTCCGATCGTCAACCGACCGACTGACCGACGACAACGACCGATATTCACTTGAACCGACGACCGTCAGTTGTCTCTTCTGTATTTCATCTCTACGCACCTCTCACAATTCTCTTTTCATGCGCATCGCCTAGTTCATCGCGCTCCATCCAACGATTGGCCTTCCTTTATCCTCCATCCTTCTGTTTCTCTTTCTCTCTCTCTCCTCTTTTGAATCGACTGACCGTATATGAACATTCCAAATTTCACCTATATCGTCGCCCTGTATGGACTGTGCGTGTTAACGTTTCCCCCCCCCCCTTCTCCTCCTCTACTGAACATCAGCCATCCCCTTTTTTAGCCCATCCAACAATTCCGAACCTCATTCAAAAGCTTTTCCTCTATTTATTTCATATAGGTAACCTTCATTTTTATACAGAATTTATATTTTCTTTTCATTTATCTTATTATGATTTGTTTACTTTTCACCTCAACAATTTTCGTTCGTCGTTTACTTTTCTATTTGTAATTTTCGTCCTTTGTGCCTTCTGAAGTCATTCACATCGACCTCCATTTTTTGTGTGTTGTAAGAAAAAACTCTACAAATCAGAAATTGATGAAATACGTTGAACACATGATGAAGCACATAAGTTCACTTCATTATTGCCTTTTCTGTAACTGGCGTGTGGAGGCTATGCTCCTAACATCGTTCACATTTCTTCCTCAAAAGACACCCCTGTTTCGCCATATTTGACTCCTGAGCCTTCTTCATTCTCGAGTTTTCATAATGATTGTCATTGTCTTCTTCGTTTGCAACGCCATCACAACCATCACAATGCTCATTTTCATCGTTTTCGTCGCTAGATGGTCGTGTGCCTCTCATACTGTCTTTTCTTTCACCTTCTATTACCTTTCTTTCAATAATTCTATCTTTCCTTCACTCCCTCTCTCTCCATTTCTCTCTGATTCTTCATCTTCTTTTATTTATCTTTTGCCCCCTTCGACTCCCGTCCTCGTCCATCTCAGTCACGTGTCCTTCTCACTACGAATAAAGGGAAAGAGGGGCTCTCCTTGTTATCTCTCTCTCTTTTTTTCTCTCTCTCTCTTCTTCTCTCTATGATTATCATTATATTCTCATCAGCTACCGTTCTCTCCTTCTGTGCCAGTCTTTTGCTCTCATAAATTACCATACACTTTAATGAAGCGCTAAATGACGTCATCGGCTGGCAATAAGAATACGAAGAAGAAGACTGTCTCGTCTGTAACGATTCATTCAGGATGATGTTAAAAGGGGGAAAAGATAAGATGATGTTGGACCATCTAGAAGATTGTCTTGGTCAATGGGTAAATGGCCCTGGAGAGAGATTATAAGGGGAAGGGAACAGTAAGAAGCTGATAAAGCTTCTTCTTTTTTCTTCTGTCATCAGTTGTTTATCTCAGTTCATGTGCGATCAAGTCGATTTCTCGTAATCCTTCAGTACTTTCTCTCTCTTTCTCTCTGGCGCTCTCTACTTCTCTCTCTTTTACTTTGTCTATGAAATGTGATTGACTTCTTCATTATACGATTTTCATTGTTTGTTTCTCGTCCTTCATCTCCTTGCTCTCGCCTTCTTATCCATCTATATTTGGCGAATTGCACGAAAAACCGTCGTCTTCTATTCGACCGACAGTATTTGGTTTTCATTCTAGCCTTCGTACCTCAACAATCTTGAAATGTTTTCTCAAACTTTCTTAACCTTTCAACTACCACCAATGCATTCATTTTTCATGCAGCCAATAGTCCCTCAGGCAAAGCATTTTCATTCTGCCTCTCCTCCTATCGCCTCTCTCTTGTGTTTGTGTTATCTTTTCATGCTATTTTCGCTGCAATGACCGTAACTCGAAGAAAGAATTTCATTTTCTTTTCAGAAAAAGCAGAACGCCATCAATTTGGTGCGTGCCTCGAGGCGAAACGACTTCACTTCGCATTTTTATTCGAGAGCCGTCAAGCGATCACGTTAAATACGCTTTAATCAGCCAAAATCATCAAATCAAGCCGTCATTAGTTGTTTGGAAACAAGCACGGCTTTTCCTTATTTGGATAAAACAGGAGTTTATTCTTTCCTAGTAATCTATCTATAACACCTCTCAAGCGGGCGTTCTCTCTAATTAAGTTTTACATTTATCTCATCTCTCTCCTACCCAACCCTACTATTTCTGGTTTCGTTAGAAGCTGAACATTCATAAGAGAGAAAGTACGGAAAGAAAGAAGAATAGAGGACTATTCCAAATTCATTCTCAACAACTTTTTTCTTTTCCTGTGGCTCAACTTCTAGCATCAAGCTTAAGGAGGAATAAGCCCACGTGGGCCATTATATGAAGCTGGGCGGCAATCACATACAATCACCACCAGCGCCACTTCATCATCTGCCAATAGGAGGAGGTACATCAGCTGCATATCACTTAGCTGAAGCATACACAAACAGTAGCTATCGATCAACTCCATCCATACTCTCAACTCCACATATTATCTGTGGTGATCAAGTTAATAATAATATTAATAATAATAATATCATACGGAGTACAGGCTATAACTCGACAGCAGTCTCTTCATCAACTTCTACGAGCAACAATAGTGGCAACAGTATAGCAGCACAGTCACATTCTCAAACTGTTCTCATGTCATCACAATTCCAGCTGGAACAGTCCAGCGTCATAAAGACAGCACCGCCGGGACGTCAACTCGAATTTTCCCCCAAAAATGAGCCTTTAGACTTAGCTCCTTTAACGCAAAGTAATCTACAGGATTTGAGCAAAATGCAGCCGTTAGATTCACAATATTATATGCCAGCATATACTCGAGTATATCCTGATTATGCCACAACAATTGGCCTAGGACAAACTACACAATCAAGCTTAATCAGTCAAACATCTGGATATTTATACAACCCATCCGTTTTTGGAGGTATGTGTTTTTTCCTTTATTTACTTTTGGACTTTCGATCATGTGAATGGCTCAGGTCTTAACATACTTCACAGCTTTCTCTCAGTTACCTTTTATCCGATTCTTCTATTACAGGAAATATTGCAGCTGAACAGAATGCATGGAGTCGTCAACCAACTATGGATCAGTATTCAAATTATCGTCAGACAACTTTGCAATACACTCCACAAGATCAAGTTGTTGTTGCTCAACAAGAACGTCAAGCCGCAGCAGCTGCGGCCGCCGTTTATAAGGTCGACATGCCATCGCCTGTAGATAGTGGTATTGGAGCAGATTTAAGTCTCATAGCAAATCCGAAAGAAGAATTTTTCGGCTCGGAAAGCACAACTGGCACTTTATCAGGTGGACAATCTGGGTTAGATCGATCATCAGAGAGAGCTTTAAGTCATCGAGACTCCCCTGTTATAATTCCTAAACTGTGAGTTCATCTTTATTCTTTCTTCTCGTTTCTTTTCTTAAACTAAACTTGATCCGATCTTTCCGTGTTTCCTTAGTTACTTTGTTCGAGAACTATCAAGTTCTCCGACATTTCCGGTTTTCACGGACTAGGCACGTGTAAATTCGAACGGGTCGATCACGTCATCAACCGGCTGATGACCGTCGAGCTAGCTGGTTCTCGATGATGATCAGGGTGAGCGAACGAGCGCGAATCGAAAGTCTTGACGAACAGCCAAGGCAGTTGTTACTAGAGTGTTCGTTTGTAGATGCCATTCCCTTCTCCTTCTCCGTATATTTTCTCTTTTTTGAAAAATCCTCTTTCTCAATAACCTAACATGAGTGAAGGTGAAGAGGTGATGCCCAGGGTATCCTTATCAATTTGAAAGAATCACTTCTAACAAACTTTTCATTCGATTTATTCCAGACATAACACATTAGGCTTCCAATATGTTTTGGAAGCACCGATATCGACATCCATTCGGAGGGAAGATGACCGGATGACATATGTGAATAAAGGCCAATTCTATACCGTATCACTTGATTATATCCCAGATCCATGCAAACCTTTGAAAAGCGTAACAGTAAAGGTAATTTAACTTTATTTTTATTCACAAGGAGAATCAGTGTTTTCTTCCATCCATAGCCTAACCATTATTTTTTTGAAGTCCTTTTTCTATTGGCCTGTTGAGGATAAATAGCCTCAGGTGCTATTCCAGGCTGTTTATACTAACTAAAACTACCGTACTCTACGCTCTTGTCAATACCGTAACTTTTAAAGAACTATCAATGTAAATTTGGCAATTGCTTCATCCATGCCCATATTTAGAAATCGTCATTATTGTCATTCAAGAGAGATGTTGGTGATTGTCTTTTTGCCTCATTCTCTCTCTTTTGCAAACACTCTCACCAATCCTCTATACCTTTTTTTATACAAAAATGAATGAACAAGCGACAGTTCGACTAATTTTTTTTTTCGTATGAAAATTTCAACGAAAATTGCCCCCAATGATAGTTTTTGAGTTACGAGAGAGATGATGGCGAATGAAGAGAACAAAAGTGAGGTAAAGAACATCAGATTCGCTTTCAAATCCTTTTTCTCCACATAAACTGATTAATCGGAGAGAAAAAGAGAACGATAGTACTGAAGAGAGAAGGAGAAAATAAGAGCAACGGAGAGAAGGAGAGAGAGAGAGAGAGGGAGGAGCTGAAAATGAGGAGAATTAAAAGAGGATTACGGTATAAATATTTATTTATGAACATGAACCATCATGAAAGAAAAAAAGAAGAAAAGAAAGAGGATTGTAAGTGAAAGAGAAGTTAAGTGAAAACAGAAAAACACGCCAATAAGCGATTTCAGCAGGACGAAAGGAAAAAGAAGCAGATGAAGAATTTGTTTTTTTACTTTCCTATTGAACTTGGAGAGAAAGCGATTAGAATGTGGAGAAAGAGAGAGAGAGAGAGTGAGAGAGAGAGGTAGATGATGAGTTCCTAGGGTTTTCTATACATCTTTGAGTGTTTTCAAGCAATTCACATGTGTACTGTTTCATGAGTCATCTCATATTGCTTCATTACAGAGTCAGCTTATGATAGTTTTCCGTGAAGATAAGACATACGAAGAAGAAATCAAAACATGGCAGTTTTGGCACAGTCGACAGCATTCAGCAAAGCAACGAATACTTGAGGTAAATAACAGTGATTATTCTGCGTTGCACCTTAAACCCATAAAATCTGGTTCTGAACGGATTGGAAACGTTTTTTAATTCATTTTATTCGTTCAATCTTCAACTTATTATTGCCTTTAACAATAGAATTGAATGTTTTGCACGTATTTGATAGTTTTTACTAACAAAACAACATGCTGAAAGTGAAAGTGAAGATTGATTGCTAAGGAAAGTTTTCGAATGAGAAAACCTTAGTTGATGACGATGACGTTCGAATTATTCGATGGAGGGATCGTCAACGATTATAAATGAATTGAAAACTTTCGAGCAGAGAATACTTCTCTTGTAATAGCTTAAGATATGAGTTTTCATTAGTGCTACTCTCTTTTACACTTTCTCTCTTTTCTTCAATCCTTTTGTATTCTCTTGAAACAGTTTTAAAGGGAGAGAGAGAGGGAGAGAGAGGTGTACGGACTAACCAAATGAAGATGAGTGAGCGACCTTCACACTATAATACATTTATAGTCCTCTTCTTCATACATAATACGGTGAAACCTTAGTATCCCTCCATTTGCTCCCAGTGTCTATCATTGCCTCTTTCACCCTCTCATTCGACTCCTTCTACGTATCCTCTTTTATTCAAAATCTTTTGAAACATGCATTGAACTACGCAAAGCGAATTCAAACGGATATAGTTGTGATGCAATGAAACACTACAGATTATGGAGAGACAATGGAGATTCACATCTATAGATATGACCAACATAACACTCTTTTCGAGAGATTTTATACATGAAAAGAACAAAATCCCAAGGACAATAACTCAGACCAAAATCTATGAAATCAGGGCATCTTTCTCTAAGTCTCATCACTTTCAAACTATTTCCAATTGAATTTCAATTTATTTCACGCCTTTGCTCTCCACCCCTTTTACCTCATCTCAACATTTACCTTTTTCTTCTTTCTCTCTCTCTCTCTCTCTCTCTCTCTCTCTCTCTCTGTATTGAGAATTAAAAACCTTTCGCTCTTCCAACTATTCAATCGCCATCATTAATCTTTCCAAAAATATTTTGTTAGTTCACATTCAACAATAACCTCGGGATCGTAACGAATCTCTTCCAATTTCAATCAAATGTTTCAAAAGTGAAAACTGTTCATAAGTGAGATTCTGAGTAGAGAGGGAACTGTATTGACTGAACGAAATGAACAGAAAATCAAAACTAACGTTATCATAACTAACAGTAATCATTAGCATACGTCCTTGGCGTCTACCATATTCTTACACGTAAACCTTCATTTACAACTTGCAGCACACTCAGACTCGCCATCACAAACAGAATTCAACAATTTCAACAAATCATTTGAATTGCAGGTTGACGCCAAAAATAGTAGTGGATTTATCGGTCAAATAGAAGAAATAGCACATAACGCTGTACAATTCTACTGGAACCCATCAGAGCAAGGAAGTGTTAAGGTTGGCATCGTTTTTAAGTTAATTCAAGTCCGATTCGTGACTCCTTTAGTTGAAGTAATGCATTTCTTTACAAGAAAAATTCTTCCCCAGTCTAGCCATATCGTTTGGGAGATACTTCTCTTCAATTTCGCGCATCATAAACGAAGAACAGAAAATCTCTTTCTTTTACTTAATTGATGCTGCAAAAGAGGGGGGTGAAGAGATGGGGAAAGAGAGAGGGTGCGAAAGAATGGTCAAATAAGGCTTTTTGTATACAAATTTATCATTCAATTGATGAATATCCATTTTGTCTTGAAAAAAAAGGATAAAGTTTGTATGTGAATGTACAATGTCCAGTGTATCGCGTCTTTTAATTTTATTTTACCGATGACCGACATTCGCGAGATGACCAAATTATCCCAAGCCCTCAGGCCATAATCAATAAAAATGAAAATATCATTTCGCTTCATTGACCTGCATTCAAATTACAGATAGAAAAGACATTTCAACAATAAATTCTCCACTTATGACGTCACTGTCATAAGAGATTCAAATGTCTTTTTGTATGAAGTTTCTCTGCAGAGTCAATACAGAAAGAAAATAAAGACAGAAAGGGTTCACCTGGAGAATAGATTCAAAACACAATGACCCTTCTTTCTTTTTTGTTTGTTTATTTTGTGTTAATCACCCGCTTCTTCAGAAGTTCATTCTTTCCAACTGATCCATTCGAACAGAAGCTTATAAGTTCTTCTTGAAAACGAAAATATCTTAACAACATCATCTATTTCGAAATTATAGATGAAAGCGAAGTAGAGACAAAGATCATTTGCTTTTTGTCGTCTTCTGTACAATTTGTTTCTTCTTCTATTATGAAGGGTATATAGGGATTCGCATACCGATTCACCTATCCAGCTTCATCTCGTGATTTGTAAGAAAAAACACTTCGGAAAGTTTCAACTTTAATTGAGTTGGAATCAGAGGAAAAAAATCTCTAGGAAAGAGAGAAAAGAGGAAGAACGAATGGAGAGGAAGAGAGAGAGAGAGAGAGACAGAGAGAGAGAAATTTAATAGAAGAATCAAAAACCAAATGATATCCATCATCGTCATTATCATGTGATAACAATAAAGAAATAAGAAGAGTACAGTTATTCCCTTCTTTCTCCTTGTTTTTGTCTTCAGAAGACAAATGACGACGTCAATTGGAAGTAAGAATTACTTTGAGAAGAACAAAAGATGAAAAATGGTTGAAAAAATTAATTAAGATAATGAATAACTGGAAAGCAAACTTCCTCATTACAGATAAGTATAGCTGTACAGTGCCTATCGACGGATTTCTCAAATCAGAAAGGTGTTAAAGGCCTGCCATTGCATGTGCAGATCGATACCTATGATGGAGATGCTGACAAGGTTCCATTCCATCGAGGATATTGTCAAATAAAAGTTTTCTGTGATAAGGTAAGTCCAATTACATTTAGAAAAAAATTGAAAAAAAATTGAAATTTTCGTTTTTATATCCAAAGTCCAATTTTTTGAAAATCGCCTCAGGCAAGAAACCTCAGCTTTGAAGCAACGAAAGTCCCTTGGCCTTATACCCTCACTTCTCTATCTGTTTGGCCTCACAAGTAAACTATTGTTTTTCTTGGAACCGAGCTGAATCAGCTGATATATTTCGATTGAATGAAATCATTTAATCCTTTTTTTATCGCTTCTCTCTTTCTCTCAATCTCTCTCTCTCTATCTCTCTTTTTGTTTCTCTCTCTCAATCTCTCTCTATTCTTCTTCTTTCTCTTCAAATGGCTATTTTGTGTGTTTCTGGAGATTTTCGCGATCATCAACTTCATCATCTTTTCATTTTTTCATTCAATTTCTATGGAAGAAGAATCTTTGCTATCGTTCCACTCTTAGTTACTGTAGCTGCAACGATGGACAAAAACGTCTGTTGATGCTTATTTACTGGTACAAAAGAAGATAGACAGCATAATAGTAAGCAATTGATAGAGAAACAGTGAAAAAGAGAGAGGAGAGAAAACTCTCTTTATCGCTTCCAAATTTCTTCAAATCATTTCTAATTCGCAATGAAATTAAAATGAACAGAACGATCAACAGTCACAATAAGTCTTATCTCTTAGTCATCTTCATTCTTATTTCTCTTTTCGTTTTTCTTCAATCGTTTTCTCCTAACAGACAAGAACGAAAAAAAAGAAAGGAAAAGACCTGAAGAGGTAAACTTTTCAATTGAAAATTTGCGAGAAATTTCAATTCTCTGAGTGCATACGACTTCGAACATGACAGCTACAGTTCACAGATTGATGCAATCGAAGCTATCGATTGAACGTTTTCCTTTTTTGGAATTTTTGTCTTTGTTCCCAAAACGAAATGAATGACGGCCATTCTATACTGTTTCTAATGCTCAAACATAAAGTTCAAATATTTTTTTTCTTTTCTGATGAAAGTTGATGGAGATTTCTCTTTTCGTCTTTCTTTCTCTTCAAATTTCCATTTGTTTGCAATACAATTTGCTCGCTGAGGGCTGTGGTTAAACGCAAGAAGCTGAAAGATTGAACAAGAGCTCAACAAGAGAAAAGACAAAAATTGTCATTTTGACCATTCGGACAATGCATTTTCCCTCTCGCTCTTTGGACGCCTTCCACACCTCTTGCATAACCTTAACCTTTTCTTTCTTTTACTCTCTCTTGATCTCTTCCGAATTCTCCATCTCTCTTTACCCAAATAGCCAAAGCAGCTGAGAGGAAAGAGAAAGATGATAGGCAAAAGAAGAAATTTTCAACTCACTCGCACAAGATGCTTGTGCTTCAGATCAAAATCGAAAATAGCCTCAGGGACTTACAAGAGAATAGTCCGATCAAAACATAAAAAAAGTTTTTGAAATGTTTTGTTTCTCATTCGTTGCTTCAAGTTGAATAGCAGGAAAAATATGATTTCGGAGGAGAGAAGAGAAAAACCTCTCAATGGAAGAAAAGAAGGGGACTGGACAGCACATCATAAACAGCTTCGGAACAATCCAAAGTAGCTACATGTTATTAATTGAAAGTTAAAAGATATGCTTATTCTTCTTAACTTCATTGCTACATTGGAAAAATACGCAGAACCTCCTTCCCTTCATCCTCGTAATCATAATCTAATGAAACTATACGAATCTTAAAACATTGGGGAAGAATGATAAATATAATTGTGTCTTGAAACGAAAAATATTCCGAAAACACATCATTTTTCATATAAAGGGTGCTGAACGTAAACTGCGGGACGAGGACAAACGAGCACAGAAACGCAAATTGGCAGGTAACCACTCTGCTCCATACGGTTCGTTCGTTCCGCTCCGTCCGCTCTCTTCTGTCCTCGTCGTCGTCGTCAGTGTGTTCCATAACTATACGTATAGCTATTAATCAAAAGCTTTTACTATTAATCAGAAGATCTTACTATTCAACTGTCTATTACATGTGTACGTGCACGACACACACACACACACTACACTTAAAATTCAAAACAAAATCAAATATAGTTTGTCTTCTGATTCAAATGAGGAAAGACAATACGAAAGAAAAATGAATATTAAGAGTCGTGTGTCTTCTAATTCAAAACAACGTCTATTGCGTATCGTCCCCTATGTCTGGCGTCTGTTACAAGTTGATAGCCTTCGAGCAACTAGACAAATAATCTATTTAATAATAAGCAGAAAAGATTTTAGATAATCTAATTAGTTTTGCCTCGATTGATCTACTGCTCATCAAAAACACAGAATGAATGTCGTTAAACAGAGAATGGAATGTTTTATTCTCGTAGTGATCATTGGTTTAACTACAATGCTGACTATTCTTCTGATTGCTTCCAGCTAACTATGAGATCAATCATTTTCGTTTAATAATCATTCATAGAACTAACAATAGAGCTCGTCCGCTGTTATATGTCTTCGTCTTCGTTTGTTGTCTTCAGAACCATTGAAACTCCCAAAACAAATCGAAAAATTCGATATGTGGACTTGACAATTATCATCTCTGGGGTTTTCTTCCAGTAATTTCCTCCTTTATCATTCAATCTATCAGGCTTCGCTCACTGTTTTCTTCCCACCTCCTCTCTCTCTCCCTTTCTCTCTCTCTCTCTCTCTCTCTCCCTCTTTTTCTTCCTTCCGATTTCTCCGGCCCCACAGTCCCTTCATCTTCCCATTCCTCAATTATTGGGCTTATTAGAAAATCTGTCCACGTGAAACGAAATATAAAAAAGACGTCCAACTGTCTTGTTGTGTGTAACCCAAGCTTTTTGCTTTTAGGGAGCTAACCGGAAAATGCTGCATGAAAACCGACGTGATGAGAAGCGACGAATCCAAGGTAGGAACTATGAAAATGGCAATCTCTTTCTCCATCTCTTGAAAGCTCTTCCTCTTGAACTCTTTATCTTTCTACTTCTCTTGAACGATTCATTCATGCGTATAGTTGATCTCCAAGCAATGCTCAGCATTTCAATGCTATCCTATCTTTTCAAAACATTAGAAACTAACTAAGTGTTCTGTAGATATGAATTATTATATGAATGCTCATCACAAAAACATTTCTAACTATTCAACGCATAGCATGATCCTTTCAACGTAAAGTTTATTGCTGCAGCAATGTGATAGATTACTTACTCTCTATGTGTAGCTTCCATGTATTACTTATACAAACTTATATTTTACGTGTTTGTCATTTTGTAATCCTAACAGCTGCATGTTTCTGTTCTGTGTTGCTTCCCACTTTCCATTCATTCATCTTATTCATTCGTAAAATAATTTCAGGAGCTTTATCTGGTCGTAAAAAATCAGATGGAGAATATCATGAAGCGTGTGATCGATCAGAGTTCTATCACATGCGGGAACTGGATAAGCCTGCAGCTTTATTCGTGGCTCCTGAAGAATTCGAACCTCGATACTTAGATGGTACATCAACTCTCGGTTTTGATATGACGGAAATGGAACCGATTGCAAAACGACCGAGGCCATCCGAACGAAGTGAGTAGTAGCATACCATTCACATGATGCAAATGAAACATGTGTTGTACAAATGAACACATTTGAAGCGTCAACCAAACAATTTCATTCACATGTTTTATTTGTACATTGAAGCGATGAAACAATGCTCTCATGTACTCGTCAACTTGTCGTCCATTCAATTCATACCATTTTTGATGATGTTATAAGATTTGAAAAAGATTCGAATGAGATGTTCAGTTACACGAGCAGCACGAGCGTCTGCTTCACCTGTCTTATTCAGATGATATTCCAGTGATGTTGTACGTTCGCAAACGGGATGAACAAATTTATATGCCGTTACATGTAGTTCCATCGAACTTGAGCGGATTAGCACAAGCCATTGCAAACAAATTTTCAGTGGATGCGGATAAGGTAAGAATATGCTAATTTTATGTAATAAAACAGTATGATGATGAAAATGGAATGAAAGAAGAGAATGAGAAGATTGAGAAATGACGGATAATTACCCCCTACTTTATAGATTCACGGTCTTTATAAACGATGCGCAAAAGGAATAACAGTTAAAATGGACGATGAAATGTTACGGCATTACTGTAATGAGGTCAGTTTTATACTTCATTATAATCGCATTTCTTATTATATTCATTACAATCTATACTATTATAGGATACATTCATTCTGGAAATAGAACCAGCACAAGATGATCCAACATCTATAGCGGCTACATTAGTTGAAGTCATGCCACCACAATACTCATCTAATCAATAATACCGTCTTCATATCTTCAATTATATTACATTATATATATATATAGTTAATATAATTCAAATGTTGAAGTTAGTAGCCGACATATCTCAAAAGCATTTGACGGAAAAGCATTATCAGCAAATTTCTCAGTCTGACTCCATGCTGTCGTCGTCAGTTTATTGCCTTCGATCCTTTCTTTCCTCTCTTTCCTTTTGTTCCAAATCAGCTCGTTTATTCTGTTTTTGATCTCAAACTTTAGCTCATGTTCCAATCTTGTTCATTATGCTAATGATAAGCATTGGATATGAATGCTGAGCAACCGATTCACGTCCGGCCGTCTGTTAGTCTTCCCGTTTGTAGTTTTGTTCGGAATTTTATGTTTTCTCAATTCTCTCTTACCTCTTCCTTTCCATCAAGAAAGTTTTGAAAGAATACGGACATGTGCTTCATAACCACTGCCTTGTTATTCTCAATTTTTTTTTGAAATAAAAAGGAAGTGGAGGAAGAGAAAGATGTTTTCGTACTTTCTACCATGATTGTGTCATCAAGTCACTTCGGTGAGAGGTAACCGCTTGTATGTAGCACTCATGCATGTAGTAGAAACCATGAGCATTTCCATCAGCTTCAAATCAAAGCTTTCCATATATTATACTCATCCTCACTCAAAACATTTTCCACAACACATCACAAAAAGTTCTTTCAGCCTTTTGTTAGGCGCCAATTCTTGTTTTCCTGATAGTTTCCACAAACAGCTCTTTCCAACTTCATTTTCCATTTCTCTTGTCAATCCATTTGATTCAAGAAATGCCATTAACTATTAAAAACAACAAATTATATGAATAGTCACATATATATTTATGTAATACTTTCATTAAATCATAGCTTTCCTTGTGCCTACGTCTAGCCAAATTTCTATTTTATCGATGTTTCCCTTTTCACACCAAAAGCAAAGCTTTTTCCCTCTTTGTCGGCTAATCAACTACCTCTCTCCGATGTTGTAATACAGATGTAGTTAACCTTTACTTAGTTTTTTCGTATGGAAGCATTAAAGCTTCTATTCCCTTCTTGTTATTTTCTCTTCCGCATCATATCCATACATTCGGTTCAAGATTTCATTATTGGTTCATATTGTTTTTCTTCACATGGTTAAATAACTTCACTTTTGTCTCCACGTGATCTTCAGTATATCAATCCCACTTAACTATATAGTATAGTATAGAATGTATTCACCATTTTTGCGAAACTGTGATTTGCGTAACTGAACAGTCGTCTTCTCTTTATTTCTCAACCGATTCCCATAAATGTGATTCCCTTTCGCTTCCAAGCGAAGTTGTTGTAAAATCAGCCCGTATAAAACGAAAAGCTTAAATGGCCCGAGAAGATAATAAGAAACCCAGTTTTTTGCTTAAAAACTCTAATTCCTTTATAAGTTCCTCTCTCTACAATCTCCCGGATAACTTGAAAGAAAAGCATTATGTTTTATATTGTTTTATCGAGCCATATGCATACAACACATGTGTATGGATAGATAATACCTTATACAGACCATTATATATACTATTGTATTATCTATGTCATATTTAAGATATTAACTATTCTTTCCATAATTATATTAATTATTAATACTCAAAGTGTCCTTAACTCATGTCTATTCAACTTCTGTACATACATATTGTCATTATAACTATGTGATACTAGCATGTGATAATCTATCAAAAAATTATTCAAAAATTACATATTCTTTCATATATGCTCATGCGAACCGAAACGATGCTTTAAGAACTTCAGATCATGCCGAGTTAGACAACGGCGATCTAATCCGATTGGGTACACTCTACAAATCACACGATAACAAATAGACTTGAATCGTGAGCCATTCGAGTTCGAAATGAACCTATCATCCGTTGAACGACACCTCAACTAGGGATAGCGAGAAACATACTATATTAATAGAGAGAGAGTGATGGAGATGGAAAAGAAGTGTCCGTTTCTTCCATATATGGACTACCGAAACTGCTGTTCTGTGAACCATCCTGGTTAATGAAAAAGCAGAGAAACCATTCTAAGAAAAGCGAATAATCCAAGAGACATTCATATTCATTTCCATACAGGAATTTTGACAGCATTTTAAAGTGAAGAAACAAACAAAATAAACTATCCATAAAAGAACTATATTCTCAAAGAACATCTACTTCTAGATAAGCTATAAAAGACTTAAAAAATGTCGTTTTATCCGCTTCTCCATCTACAAAGATAACGAGGAGACATTATTCTTACAAAAGGAATTGTTGTATGTGCTTTTAAGATAGCCGTAAATGACTCAGAAAAAGAAAGAAGCTTAATTAGACATATGCAATTCCTGAGCTGTGCTTTTGTGAACTATCTGTTCCGAGAGAATTTGATCCAACAATGTCATAGGTGATTCAAATGGTTCGAAAATTGCCAGCTCCTTAGCAGCAAACTCAGCATCAGATGTATGAGCAACATTCCGAACATCCGATAAACTTAGACGTTGCCTGATGGAAGGTTCATTCACATCATTCTCCACTATATTATTCACAGGTAATGGCCATAATTTGCTGCTTCCCAGAGCGGCTCGTACATCTCCGCGAACGCGCATCGCAATTACAGGTCCGCTGGAATAAGAAAGATGCGTCGGCATGTTTCATATAGTAAAAACTGAGAAAATTAGAAAAGTGAAAACAGAAACATGCCTGCACACATGGCGAACTAAACGAGGGTAAAAGAATTTGCCTAAACAAGAAATGCATTTGCGTAGGCAAAGATATCCAGAATGAAACCTTTATGAATCCCATAGAGCTTTTGTGCTTTTTCAGGTGTTAGCCGCAGAAGACTAGCTCCGCTGATCTCAATTCCAGCAGTGGTAATGTCATTTATAAGAATCTATAATTACGAAATCTTATGCTAATCAAAGTTCTTTCGCTCAATATAAGATGTGTTCTCTTCATTCTAGGGTATTATTCAACTGTAGACCTTGAGACTTCATTTCAATTAACAGGTTTGAATATTGAAAGTGACGAAACAAAAATAACAACTACAACAACAAGCAAGAGCTAAGCAAATAGTCACGAAGAACAAGCAGTTCTGACCTATTCTTCGTTAGTGTGTAGCTCAAGTAAGAAATGAGAAATGAACACGGAAAACGAAAAAGGAGACTCGAAAGTGAAGAGAACGTAATGAAGAACAGAAGCACAATGTGCCAGCAGAAATAGAACAATTCTATATGAGTAGCAAAGAGAGATAGAAATAGACAGAATATGATGAAGAAACATATTCCTTCTCTATTTCTCTTCTTTTTCATTTAAAACTTTCTCCGCTCAATTATTTGTTTCGCATCAGTCCTCAACCATGAGCAAACACGTAATGCTTTTGTAACTCATGTTGCTATTTCGAAAATGGGGACTTTGAAGCGTTTATAGAATGTGAATTAGAGCAAGAAAGGAAAAGAAAAACACGAGCGTTAAAACACTTCGTCATCACTCATCACATGAGTGACAGTCCCGTATTAAATGTTTTCGCATTCAAATTTTCACAATAATACTGGAGTGACAGAAGTTATGAACGTCAAAGATTTTTCAGTGTAGCAGCGTGCTTCAGTCTGAACTCTTTGATTACTTCGTATTATTCTCTCAACTGTAGAGTAGAAGAAATCAAAGAAAAAATTGTTTTTGTTGAAAGAGCATATTCAATGTTGTGTGCTATATACAGCACAATATTGTTGGCAAGAACAGCCATTTTTGTAGCTCTCTCTCTCTCTCTCTCTCTCTCTCTCTCTCTCTCTCTTTCTCGCTCTGGTGCCAAATGCTAGAATACTTAATAGTAGACTCGAACCGAGTGAAAGGAAATAAGAAGATGTTAACAAGAAGTACGATGTCGTTGTTCTCATTATGATGGAAGTTAATGTCATCGTTGTTACTCTGTCTATTTCTGTAACTGTAAAGCCATAAGAAGGCAAGAATCGTTACTTTTACAGTATACTTGTCGTTGTCATCATCACCATAATGCTCGGTGCATTAGAAAGTTTAAAAACGTCATCAACTGACGATAACACCATGAAACGAAATAATTGAAGACGAGAACAAGTGAATTGAGAGATGGTAGCTCTCACAAAAACAGTAATTATATTGTCTTCAACTTTCATATATCAAAAACAGTTCAATCAATTTTTTGTTGTTATGCTATTCAAGACTTGAGACAGAAAACATCAATAAACTCTGATATATTTCAAGTCTACGATAAGTTCTTATTTATCCTTTCAATGAACTATGAGTGCGTGAGACTATCATATAAGCTTCTATTTCTCTCTGCAGCAGAACGCTTTACGGATGTGTTCATGGAATCCGATAAAGGAAAACAGCAAAGAACGAAGAGACAATTTTGCGACAGCAGCAAACAGCCCACCAATCCGACTTCAGTTCCTTGTTTCTCTATCTGTTCAGATCCACAAACATCAATTGATACTTACAATCTTAACAACTGTCAACCATAAACGAAGAACAGTATGCACTCAAAAACAATCCGACGCTTTCACTGTCGAAGTCATGGAAACATTGATGCGAGAACAGAGCTTCAAGATAGGAAAGCTTCTATTATTTTACAGTCGAATGGCTTACTTCCTAACTAGGTGTTTCAGCTTTTTCATCCATTAGTTTACCAACTGGTAAAGGAAAGTAGTTTTTTGCGTTTGATCTAATGAAAATCTCGGAAACCACAAGGTTGTATACTCACTACTCATCCAACTGAAACTAGCTATTAATCGCTTCACTGGGTTTTCACAAGCAAAAAGGATGCCCTTACATACTGAGCGAAATATTCAGAAAGGTAGCGGATGGCTAGACAAATTGCTGACCCAGATGATGAGCGACCCGAATCCAATCATCCTCATCCGGTGTATTGGGAGAGAACAGAATGAAAAGAGAAAGATATCTCGAAGAGGGGAAGGTTCGTTAGAAAATCATTTGAAGAATAATGCGAATCAGAGAAACAGTGTGAAGATAAAATGCTTCGCCATTACGGAATTGTATAAATCAAACAAACGGACATTAAATGAATCGCTAATTCATTTGTCTAGGGACCGTACCGGTACAGTATCATCAATATTTTCCTCAATATCAAGCGGAAACAGCAGAAGACAATAAACTTTCATCAATATCAAATCCAAATCGATCGGTCTGAACCAATACAGGATGAGAATAACCAATACTAATTACTTTCTGCAAATAATTTGCTTTAATGGCTGTTGAGCCTTTTTTATGCGAATCGTTCCAACTATTGAGGATCGTAAGTTATCTAACAAACATCGACTGTTTTGCCTGGTATATTGGTCAATCATGATTTCAGGATCTACGCTTGAAGCTAAGGGGAATAAGAGAGTTAGAGACGGTGAAAGAGAGAGATTCCGACAATACTTTATGCCTTCTCTTCTATTCCTCCATTCTTCCAATTTTCAATTCTTTACATCTCTATTATCTCTTCATTCATAGTATGTTTGAGTGGTTCTCTCTCATTCCATCTTTTCGATCTATCCATGGAAAGTCGGTCTGACCCAGATAATCGCAATTGATGAGCATCATAGCGCGACGACCGTGAAGTTGAAGAACGTCAGGCTGAACAGGGATGTGCAAAATTCATAAACAATCAAAATTCAAATTATTTTATCCACTGTGACTCATAAGCATATCGGAGTCTCGCCACAAAACATCATTGCAATAAGCAGATAGCAACCTGAGACCGTCTAAAGTGGATAGGATGAGTGCATATCGAGATTGTCAATACCCCATTACGAAAAAGAGCAAAATGAATCAGCTTTCATCCGTATTAGTCAAATCTAGAAAGTTGTCCACTATGTGTAGGTGGGTGTTAGATTTTGTTTCACTTGACTCAATTGACAGCAAATATACAAAACTCTCAAATCTCATTTAAATTCGTCGTTCCGTACCAATACATTTCCAAAACGGAGAAACAATCATTCTAAAAACATAAACTCTCAAGTGAAAACATTTTTCAAAACACACACTTGTAAATGTGAGTGTGATTCTACTCAACTATGTAAACTATCTATATATAGTGTCACCTCCTCCCAATATTCAAGAAAAAGAAAGACCCAATTCTGTATGAACTACGACCTACTTAACCCATAGAAAAGCACAAATCTGTATCAGGGATGCTAACATATTGTCTACCAAAGCGAATCATCATTTCAGTTCCAACGAGATAATGTTACTTGTTGGAGCTGGATGATTGACTTTCATACTTTAAGTACAAGCCGAACATGCTGCTTTAAAAAACAATTTTTCAAAAAGAACCAACTCTATATACATCCCGTTCAGATCACTCTACCAAAGATTTTTCCCAACAACAAAATAAACAAAATTAGCGCACCTTCAACAACTGCGGGTGGGAAACAATGTCCGGCTTGAGCAGCATCAAGGTCCAGTTTGATATTGAGCCCATTTCTATGTTTACTTCTTCGTTTTTCTATTCATTCAAACTCTGTAAAAGAGAACATAAGAATAAAAATAGAATAAAAAACTTGATCAAATAAATAATACCCATTTCCCCCTATATTTACCTTAGTCATTGCAGGGTGGCTAAACATAAGAAGCTTCTTTATTGCGGGGAAGAGAAAAGTTAAGCAATGCATCCAATCGTCGCTGTTTTCAATAAATCTCATAATGATTCAACTATAATCATGACTTAATGCGGGGATTTGAGCTCCACAATGAAGCTATGAAGCTGAAGAAGTCTCGGCGTTTATGCAATGAGAACACGCATATTTACATGAGCGCTTAACAGACTATTATTTCTTGATATATATATATATATATATATCTGCCTATCTAACTGATCCCGGTATTAGGAATGCACATTGCTGTTCCGTGAACGTACATTTTGGAAATGAATTTATTTAACTTCATCATAGAACCAAAACTGATATCAAGAAATGGGAATAGGGCTTACAATATTCTTCAAGAATATTTATTGACTCTTGTCTCGCATAAGAATTGCTCCAAAAACAAAAGAACAAAATAGCTGAGCTGATCTTCCTCCGGAGAAGTACTTTTCTCCAATTCCCGCCAGTCAGATCAATCTTTCTGCTGTCAGAAAGTTTGGATGACAATCAAATGAACATCGCAATGAGAACGAAACACCCGAACACAGTTTCCAATGCCAGCGGAGATGAAAAAAATGTCTTTTAGTTAATAATAGCCTTATTAACTCTGGATGAATTCAACATCCGAAATCGATAATATAACGAAAGACTTCTTCTTGGTCACATACTCTTGATGGTTATCACAAGAGTTTGTACCGCACGATGAGTGTTCTTACTGCCTAATGGGAACCTAATTCGAACACTTCATAAATATAGGATGGTGTGAAATTCATTTTGTTTTATTTCTTGAGACGTGCATATGTTTCATGTGCATTTCAAAACTATGGTTCAGAACTTTCACAGTAGTTAGCAACTTGTGAAGCATGTCTTCCGAAACAGAAGTAGCAGTGAAAAATCAGATCGTTCATTTTAGAGATACAGAAGGGAGCAAAACATACCATTGGATCTTTCGAACAGGCTGCCAGTTCAAGATTAGGAGATTTAACTCTCAAAAAATCATCTAAGATCAATTTCGTATTCAATGGATGGGCTCCTTCGTTTAGGGATTCAGTACCGAAAAAAACCGGGTACGCTAGCTAGACAAGATGGAATCAGAGAATTTTTATCAAATATTATATTAAAACCGTTATAAAACATTTAGACCAATTTTAGAAGTACACGAATAGTAAGTTCTCAGAAATAAGACCCTTCGTTGAGTTAAACAGGCATCCAGTCGCTGTTTTGTCAAATATACAGTTGCAAAATAGTTGCAGAAAAAAATAATATATGATACAGTCTAAACCAGTGTGAATCCTTCAGTGTGTTGAATACTAAGTAGAAGGCGACGATACATTTCATCGGCATCGGTAATTTTTGGTATCTCTAATAAATTGGCACAGGTATGGGCTACTGGTAGTAACTGAAAAAAATCTCTCAGAGAAACAATATAAAACGAAAACAAACATGTTCCGCGCAAGGTTGGATGATTATTGTTATTCCTTCAAGCCCTCGAACAGGTAGTCTAGGTGATCCCATCAGGAACCTCATGAACATCTGAGATTATGGATAGAGAAAATGTATGAAAGAACAACATTACCTTCCGCTCATCCAAAGTAAGTTTGAAGAAAGCTTTCCAGAACGCGAGAACAACAGGATGCTGAGGGTTGAGTTCATTTTTGTAAGTCACGCACTGTAACAATGAGGAATTAATGAGCTATGAACTTTCATTTATCTACTTATGAAAGATATAAACAGAAAACGTTTCAACTTCAACTATTCTTCGGGCGAACCTAATTTGTTCAATATGCTACCCACCACCCCCCTCTCATGTTAAGCGAGGGTGTAAGCTTAAACTGGTTTTGAAGGAGCAGGAATCAGCCTGTCGTATCGTATTCATTAAAGCTTAGTGAGAAGATTGCTAGACGAAAATCGTTATTAGCAGCGAAAAGAAGAAGCTTCCCCAAAATAAGATGACATCAACGTTTGCTTGATGGGAAGCAATTAATATTTGAGAATAGCTGAAGGGAAAAAGAATGTGTAGAATGAGAGTGCCGAAATCAGTTGTTATTCAATGGGTGACTTGTCATTTTAATCACAGTTTTCGGCCTTATATTCTCAGCAACAAAGAAAGCATTAGGTTACCGACCATTCAAAACTGACAGAATCTCATATGTCTTCTGTCAGCGATTACTTTCGCTGTTTTACTGATGTCGGATGCTTCTATGCATTTGACATACTTTAAGCGCCCCAATTGCCATTACAGTTGACCCAAATCCATACATTCCTACAACACCATCAACCTTCAGCCGAAACGAACGCGAATTCGTTATATATACAACGTTCTATTAGCCGCCGGTCTTTTTGCCCTTTGAATTTTCGTAGGCAAAAACAAACAAAACCATAGAAAACAACAAACTAATCATACCAAACGTGTTGTTCATGATCTATGACAGTGCTTGGATAAATTCAAAGTTCAAATATCCTAAGGAATCTAGCTTGTACAATCTGTGACTTTAGAAGTTTCTCTGATCTGATGATGCTAGTTCATTTAAACCATCTTGCCAGGAAGCTGAACTTGTCACTCTTGCATCATACCTGTTTGGCGCCAGGAAAGCCAGTCGACCAGTCGGGGTCATCCGGTCAACATTTCTTCAAACTAGACCGTTTAACATGCTTATATGCATGCGAACATTAGCTGTCACTTACGTTATCGTATCGAGAGCTTGCTGCTTACCGAACTGGTATATGTACAACAATTTTCTCTCTGATGCTTAAAAACGCTAATGTCCAACAGATGTGCCTGGTTTGAGCTCATATACGACAAGTAATAAACTTCAACCTCAATATAACAAATTGTCAGCGCACTCGATAGAAGTTAATGAAATTAAAATTATGGCAGTGTTTAGTTTCTTGAAATAGGCGGGGAGCACAAACGCTGTTCAGGATCATAACTATCGTACCTTTGAAGATACAAGGAAAAATTGAGTTGAAAAGCTTATATGCAAAGGAAGCAACAGTTTTTTCTTTGGAGAGTTGAGAAATGTATCTACAGTATCCAATTCAGTAAATGAATAATAGATTTTTCCATTTTTGATCGTTGGAATTACACCTGAAATTGGTGCCCAGCAGACATAATTGAGCTATTCACGCAGCCATTTCATTACACAAAACGGAGAACTTCAGAATTTAAGTAGGGCGTGAAGAAAAGGCCACTGGCGAACACAATTCCGAAAATTAGCTTCTTTTTCAATTAACCCTTGACGCAGACAAAAGCAAAAGTCTTGAGAGAATGAGAAGAGCACATTACATTAATGCGTGGAAATTGTGGAAGAAAACATAATTCATTATGTTACTATAACTTGTCCAGAGAAGCGCTCCAGGATCACAATAAGCTACTTATATCAATACCAGCTGTGATCCCCTCTCATACTTCAATTCAAAAAACGTAACCCCGGTTAGTAAAAACACGAATGTTCAAAGAGAAACACTCACATTTCTAAACTCCGTCCAGTCGTAGTTTTCATTACCGATCACTGCTTCCATGAGCTCATTTGGCTGGAATAGAAGAAGTAGTCGTATGTTCAACAATTGCCCAAAGCCTTCTCGAAAAGCTGCAACTTGCTCCTCAATCTTGCTGTTGGCACCGATCTCTAAGCGATACCTCACGTAGAGCTATAAATAGTGATTATGGGAGCTTTGTAACCAACGTTTCACTTACTCGGACATATTCCTGCTTATTATCCTGGGTTACAGTTAGGTTCTCTCCGTTCGTTTTGAGTGGAACAGTAGCGATGGAGCTCAGAGTATTAAGAGTTATGGTGAAGTTCAGACAGAAAACTTCCTGTAAGTGAGGTTATAAAACTAATCAACTACCTAAACACCAAAATTTAAAAATTGAATACCTCGAAATCATCTCCTTCATAATCTAACAGTTGTTGCAAGCTGCGACCTTCGACGGGACTCAACTCCGTTAAATCTTCCAGAGTAGTAGGTTGATTCAGAATCATCTAGAAATACAATGGAATATACACTTTAACACCCCACTAACTTTGTAAAGAGCGAGAGGGAAGGGGAAAGGAACTAATACGTCATTGTATACAGCCATGCCGAACAAAACGCCTAGAAGCTGGAAGTTCATGTTCTCTTGTATATCATATCCGCTGAACCAAACAAGATGTGAATCAGTATCCTCAACAAACATTCCATAGCTTAAGAAGTCTCTCATTAACAAGAAATAGAGAGTAAGAAACTCATTGCACAGTATTTGTTGAAAAAGTAGAATGAAAAACTCCTTCTTAATACCTCCAGCATCCTCTCCTTCTTCTCCAACGAATTGAATCTGTAGCGACTCTAACTAGATTACAAATCAATTAAACTAAACTTTGAGCGGCTTCCTGAACTCATTCAGTTCAGATTGTCGGCTCATCCAGAGCATAGTATCATACACAATATGATCCCTCCGCACGTTAATAGTTGCGAAAGGCTGTCGGAAGTAAAGTCTCAAAGGTCCTTGATAAATCAGATTCACTTGATCAACCATTATCTAGAAATATCAAATAATGGAAAATAGAATTGTTCTAACCTTCTGCTGAATCAGACAGTCGACATGAATCAAATCTGCTTTAGCAACGCCATTGAGAAGGAAAGGAAACTGGACCCAAAAAACTTGCCCGTTTCCGGAGTTCTAGAACAAAACAGTATCCTATCATACAGATCTCAAGCGTAACTACTTACCTTAGAGCTGATCCAATTTATGTAGTCAATTCGTATGTCGACTTTGTCTGCTAGCTCAGTAATGTAAAAACTTTCGTACCGCAAGATCTTATTCGCCTTAATGGAGCCATTTCACCAAGAAACTGCGAATTGAAAACTAACTCTATTGAGTTCAAACAGTTCTTCTAGCACTAGCAGCATTTTAATGCATAAATCCGGTGTTTTGTTGATGAGAACCATACAACGAACACCAGAAATCAAAACAGTAACTATTCGATTGAAGTTGCGTGCAGGAAGCTTCGTCCACCACTTTTCTGTAACTCATTACTATGGGCGATATTAAAAAGTTATGATTACTCAAGAGCATTTTGTATGAATCACTCAAGTTAAGGTATAGGCCTGCGAATGGAATTATAGAATCCAGAACAACATCCATTTTCACATTTTCTGTTAAGAAATTGAGCCAAGGTAGTATTAGAAATATACGAATAGATTCGGCACAGTTGTAAATTGCTGATTGCTCACCAGTTTTCATACATTCTTTCATCCATTGCTTCAGCTGTAACAGATTGATGGTAGGTTTATGTAGAAATATATTTCAAACCAGTTCAGTATAAGAGCTCGAATCTCTGGATTCCGCGATAGCATTAAAACTTTCCATCACAGCGTCTAAGTCAACTCCACTATGCACATAACCCTCTCTTGCTGGGAACCTTCGTTCATCAGAATAGAGGAAAGATCCGTTGAGAGCACTGATTGAACTGAAAGCAGACTCCAGCTCACTGAAAAACAAGTTCACTATTGCTTCCGAATGACCCAGACCCAATGAGATTAACTTTTTCTCCTTTGGATATGTACTCCATTATAAGCTGATGTGAAAGAAAACGTGGTTCTTGCACAGGTGCGCTAGGTCCCGGAACACATGACTGTAACATTTCAGTTTGAAGTAGCTCTGATGTGACTTTACCAAATCTTCACTGGATCTTATTAAAAACATTTGATCCCATCCCGCAAATAACTTAGATACATTCCTCAAGGAGTCGGTTTGGCATGGAGTCACTTTATTAGTAGTTGATCCATTTCCCAACTGTCCAGAAGTGTTCAATCCAAAAGGGTATAGTTTACCATCAATGACTACTGCTGAATGACATCTGACAAAATATTGAGCTTATAACAGGTTCAGCAGAGTACCTTCCACAAGCAATCCGAACTATAGAACTGCCCATGAGCTCTGTTACGGCTACCGGAACACTTTGCCTTTCAGTTCTATCAATACTCAAGTTACACATGCTTAAAAATTAATACAACCGGCGTCCCAAACCGAGTTGACCAAAACTGTCCGAACCAAAAGCAAACAAAGTTCCATCTTTAGTGAGTAGCAGGGAATGTGAATATCCAGCAGCTAATTCACAAACCTTCATGCTTACAACTGATTCGATGACTTCTGGTTTATTGTGTGCTAGAAATATGAATATTTGTTAAGAAATATACAGTTATTACGTTTCAGATCTCCTAATCCAAGCTGACCATAATCATTTGCTCCCCAGGAAAACACGGTTCCCGAAGAAGTGAGTGCTAGATAGTGTCTACCACCGGCACACACTGAAATACAAGGATCATAGTATTGACCCGATTTATAGTAATGTCCACCTCTCACTATAGGAGCAGCTTGCAAGGAAGTAATAACAACAGGGCTATAATATATTAATCCATCTCCTTGTTGTCCCCAAACCCATACAGTTCCATCTAATGATAGCACTATATAATCACATCTTTACCCTCACTCACTTTCTGTTAAAGCTATGCATTGATCTTGTCCAGCGGCTACTTGCACAACTTCAGTCAATTGAGCAACACGTCTGGTATCACATTCTAATGTATAACTGAATTTACTCACTTTGGAGAAGCACATATGTGTGATCCACTACCCAAACCGAGTTGACCATGTTCATTACTACCCCATGAATACAAACGGCCATCCTCGAATACTGCTAAAGAATGATAACGCCCTGCTGCTATCTGAATAAAAACAACTTACAGAAAAAAAGCAGTTTAGATTACCTGTATTGCTTTAGCTCCAACTGTAATACTAACAGGATAGATAGTGTAGCTACCGCTATTCTGGCTTCCTCGACCGAGCTGACCATACTCATTGCTTCCGACACACCATACCTACACAAACAGTTGCTTACATGATTCAACATAAAACAACAACCTGTCCATTCTCCGCAAGTAGTAATGTATGCTTCTCACCACAAGCAACAGATTTAACAGTGGAACCGTAAGCTCCGCTGGGACCACCAACTAAAAACTATTTTCAATTATTCAAAAAATATCAGTGAAAACTACCAATATGTTCAGGAATAGCGAGGTACGTCGAGTCACTAAGACGCAGGCCCAATTGCCCATCCTCTGCTAACCCACATGCTAATAGTTCTTGTCTCATATGCTTAATTATCATGTTTAATTTCAGTTATAGATCAGGCTGTTGTATTGATCTTTGAAAAACAGAAGAAACACTGTTATGAGCACAAGCCGCATATAACCGATAAGTTACTGACGAAGACAGGGCACAATGAAATAAAAACTATGTAAATCCTTTAATGGACAAGTTCAACAAATAACCATCAAACAATGAAACTGTAACCAAAAATCCTACTAAGTTAGAGAATGGTCAGAAGAATGCAACCGTTCTAAGTAAGAAACAGACAAGTTCATGAAGACCAACTTACGCAGGCAACAATATAACAAATGAAAAGTTCAAACGCTATCTGTCATAGGGTCTTCTGTGATATTTTCTTTTCGTGAGTCAACTTCTTCTATAACAGCTTCTGGCGAATTGCTCTCTTGTTCATTTTCTTCCTTCTTAGCAATCAACGCAGTTTCACGATCTAAAGCTGCCTATAACCATATCGAGTAAAAAAACAAAGCCCGTCCACTATACAAACTTTTTCTTTTCGTTTTGATTTCATCATCATTTCGATTTCAGCACAATCAACCCCCATCATTCGAAGAAGATGGAGTCTTTCTTCTTTACTAATGTAAGGAGCAATGGTATGATACCCAACCTACATAATCATACGTATTCATTCCCACTTGAAACACATACCCAGCAACAAATAGGATCGATCTCTTCAAGATAAACTACTACAGATCCATGTCCTTGAGCTCTTACTTGCTCACGAGACTCGAGTTCTTCTAATCTCACCATGGTCTCTTCAGTGTTGAGTAATTTCAACATATCCTCACGGCCAATTTGAACCTAAATTCGATAAATTATGCAATCGGATTTTTGAAATTGGAAATCAACCTTTCGCTTATTCATATACTTTACCAGATACCGTATTCCTTCCTGGGATAAGCGGAATTTCGTAGTTTCTACTTTTTGTTCTGTTCTGCTGAACATTTTCATTCCTGCGTTTTGGATAGACACAAAACTCATATTTCTGATCTAAACAGCAGATAGTACCTCACTACGCTAATGATTACCAACCACGAAATCTTTCACAGCATCGTTAGCAAAGAAAAGCTGTCGCGAAACACCCATCGAATCAGATGTTCTGCTGAATAGATTAGTATATGGGAAGTTATCCGCTACTCCATAGTTGCCACTGATATCGAACCATCTTGGATCATCTTTCACCAAGAAAGTGAAAGGTTCATCTTTGAACATTTTTTGTTTCTTCCACGCCGGACCACTACAAAACTTATATGAGAGCGTAAAATGAAAGGAAACACAAACGAGAATGCATCAGTAGGTTTGGTGGTCTCCGAAACTTTTTCAAACAGAGCTACGTAGAACCCTCCGGTATCTTGCAAGTGCGGAGCTATTCTCATCCTATATTTCAAAAATTAGGAAAGATTCAAACAACCATCTTACGTGAACTGTAAATTCATATATGTGGCTTCATCTTCCGTTGGAGGGAAACAGGACGCACAAATCATTCTCTTCATTTTTTCTTCGACTTCTTCAGGGGTAGCGAAAACACGCATTTCTTTGTCATATACCTAACAGTTTTAGTTCTTTTTTTTTTACGGATTAGGAGAAATATACCTTCCAGGTGTTGATACCACGGTACGCTTTTAATCCCGGCAGCATCGGGTGAGCGTCTACGAGACGAACACTACCTTGATTTTCTCTCAAAAGCTGAGCAATGACAGCTTCATCTTCTATTGGATTCATGGAACAAGTCGAATACACCATTTGTCCCCCAACCTTGAGCTTTTCTATCCCTCTGTAATCCCACATCAATTAGATAACACTTCACTCCTCTTTCACCTTCTAGCAATAGCCAACTGCATTCTGTGCAAACCAAGAGCATCTTGCGGAGTCCATTTTTTCCAAATCTCAGGATTCTTTCTTAGCGTACCATCACCACTGCAGATAACATCACACAAAACTCTATCAAAACGTAAAGCTTCGTCTCCCTTAAAACTCATGAATGAGTTAAATACTTTTTACATGTTACTAACGTCCGTTTTGAAATCACTGAGTCTAGCGGCATCTTCACAAGTGATCACACAATTGGTGGTATGAAAACGTTTGAGAGTTTGGTGAATCAGCATGTAGCACCGCTTTTTGTCTAGATCATTTGCTATCAATAAACCCTCTGAAAAATGGACAATCAGTGAGAGAAATTCCAGAAGGACTGACTGGGGTTTGGTGTCTCTTCGTGCATCATTTCCATCAATTGGCAAGTTTTACTTCCTGGAGCGGCACACATATCCAATACATAATGATCTGATTTTGGTGAAAGCAGCAATGGTGGAATCATGCTAACAGCCTCTTGTCGTGACAAGTTACCTAGCTCTGCCTCAGTTACCTAGCAAAACAGAGGTTTCTATTTACTGTCTCACGAACACTGATACCAAGAAGTTATGAAGTTGGGCGAGAATGGGATGGCTTCTAACGGCAGTTCTTGACATTGGAGTCTGATACGCTCCCTTATACCTGAAAATTTCGTAACAGTCTACCTCGATTATATTTTCTCACCAAGGAATAGGTTTTGGTACAAAGACTCCTGCTTCACCGGATTCAACAATCTTTCCGAAAAATCGCGTTTCCATTTCTTGCATTAACTGTTCTTGATCCCTAAATCGTTGAACTGAGTGATAAAATGGGACAAAAGTATACTTATGACACCCTTGTATACGGAAAGAAACAGGTAAATCGCTTTGTAGAGTTGTTTTGAAAGATTCAAACTCCTCTGCTGGGATGATTTCACGATAATAACTCCAATACTTCTCATTCTCTTTCACGATATCTGCATACGAAGGACCTCTCTTGAAACAAGCATGCTATCAATTTGTTTAATCAGGCAAAACAACCTCATGCCATTTTCCGTTTCCTCCGTCACCTCTTTTTTTATTCCAATTGTTGCCTTTCTTCTTTCCTTTCTTGAAGCCCATCCTAAAAACTTAGATTACAAATAATTTCTGGAAAGAATGAAATATCGAATAGTAGTTAACAGTAGAGAAATATATATTATAGGTTATAACAACTTCATTTATGCTGTCCCCTGAAACTAACAGTTACAGTTAATAATCAGGATTAATAAAAATATTAGATATCTCTGAATCTGCTTCTCATTAAACTTAAGGGCAAGAATTATTATAAACAGTGTAACAGGAGCTTTCTAAGATCTCCAGTTGGAAAAACGAAGAGTTACTGAATTAGGAAAACAGATATCTAACATGATCTATAGACCGGGAATAAAGAAAGTGTGTGGGTTACATAATAGAGAAGCAGAGCAGCTTAGTAACGAAAAGATAGAACAACTACTTAAATAACAGAAAGTATCAACAGAACTCTTTCAAGGAATGGACCGTTGACGCCGCAAGCTTGCGCTTCCTGTTCAGTTGAGGATAGCTCCAGACCCCTCAAAAATCGCTCTCTTCAGTAGCATTCTTTTGTAGATTTTTGTGGTAATCGGACTGATATCCTAATGAGGATATCATCCTGGTATCCCAATCTACGGTCCTTGAGACAATAATAAATTAGCCATATCGTTCTCAATATCCTCTCCAAAAGTCATGTGCCGGAACTCATCTTGAGATATCGCTTGTGTTTGATTGCGACCCTGCTGTGATTGTGACCAGCCAGTCAATCCAGTGGCTTCCGATAAAGGTCCATCACCAAGAATATCAACATCTTGAGAAGCTTGCGAAGCATATCCTCCTGCATGATCCCTAGAGTTTCCTTGTCCTCTCGTAGCACCTCTTGGAGCTGGCCATGACGAAGTACTCTGACCAGCTCGGCGGCTTCCTCCTGGAAATCAAACTCGATCGCAACTAATAAATGAAAGCAAACCTTGATTTGGTGTTGGGGGTACCATGTGTAGCATATGCAAAGGTAGTGGCGCATGAACCTGATGACGAAGAGATTGTTGAGTTATTGCTTGCTGAGGATCCATTGGAACATGCCTAGAATCTTTAGCACGATATTCACTCATAGTATAAGAATGTCTCTGGATAGCACACCTTCCAGTCTGGAAACAGAAATTAGTAATCAAAAATGTAGATTTATCATACGGGATAAGCTGGATTCCGAGGCTGTGGTTTAGGTTTTGGTAGTGTCATTTGGATTGGCTTCAAGTTATTAATAGGACCTTCGACGATGAGGTTTTTATGTTTGAATGTGGCCAGTAGATCATTCCACAGTGGCTGTCGGGCAAGAACCTAGGAATTACTGAATAAACAAAATGTTATTTTACGCACCTTGCCGTTCCCAATGATAACAAGACCGTATTTAGCACGAGTCAAAGCAACGTTCAGACGACGTGGATCGTTTAAGAATCCAATGCCTGACTGCTCATTAGAACGAACGCATGTCACTATGATAAAATCTTTTTCGCGACCCTGAAAAAAGGTTTTTTTGTGAAGCTTTGAACAATGACTATATTTTTCCACATCGCTAATTTCTTTGCTATGGCTAAGCTTTAAAAAGTCGGAGCTGGCCAATAATTAAGATACCTGAAAAGCGTCCACATTCGCAATCTCCATGTGTTCATAAAGCTTGCTGTTCAGAGCTCCTTGTGTGTGCATGTATTGAACGATGAAAGATCTCTGTCCTTCATAAGGAGTGATAATGCCGATTTGCTCCGGACGCATTCCACCTCTGAATAAAGAGAAGAACATCTACTTTGAAAGAAGAAAATCAAACTTGATGAGTTTACTCGCCAACTTCTCTACATTCGCAGCTTCCGTTCTGTTCAAAAACGAAGTACCCGAAGCACTCATTTCTTCTTGTCCATAGCATGACCAAAAAATCATAGGTTTATCCGCGACTGGCCATTGCCAATCTACATTACGTAGTGATCTCTCAGCTATAAACAAATCAAAAAAACGATAAAACACTTTACAAACTTTCAGTAACTCCATTTTGCAAACTTCCTTCGTAGAAAACATTGCTAGGAAAAGCAGATAGCACAGGGTGCATTCGGTATTGAACCTCAAATGAACATCGCATATTTTCTTTTATGTAGACTGGCAGGTACCTGTAGTCGAACTGGCCTGTTTCCCAATAATATCAACCTTTCAAACAAAGACTGAGATAACCCTGCTTTTGCAGCCTTAGAAATTGTTATTTCGCATAATTTCGTGATTTATACCTTCTTGCACATTATGACTGGACCAAGCTGGCAATGATCTCCTACCAGAATGACTTGTCGTACACCTCTCACGATAGAAACTAGAACTTCCGGCTCAGTGGCTTGAGTAGATTCATCGATGAGAACAGTTCTTCACAGACATTTTTAAACGAGAGATAATCGAATACTGACTTGATTCTTATACGGGATAAACGAGGATCGGCAGCTGAGGAGCAAGTACAGCAGATTACATCAGCAGCCAACAATAATTGGGATTCACCAATCTTTTTCAATTTTATGTAACGCTCTTGATCAGCAGAGGATAACTCGCCCATTTCTTCCTATAATATATATCAACTCGGCGTATCAAAGCAAATGATCTCACCTTTAGTTGTTGGAGTTTTTGTAACTCGGCAGCTTCTTTCAAAACTTTGAGTTGTCTTGGTAAGGTTAGATAATCCACTTTAGAATCCAAGCTTTCTCTTGATTTAGCATAGAGTCGGATAACCTAAGAAAAGTCATAGAAAAACTGAGAAAAAAAAAATTCCTACCTTCAGCCCAGTCAAATGGATCTTCTCCGCCAGCTGATCAACTGCTATGTTTGAAGGAGAACAGACTAGAACTTGGCCCTGTGTTTGCTGCACCAAATGGTAAACAATTGTAGCAGAGGTAACAGTCTTGAACATTGTGGATAAAGGAATCAAAACTGATTTTCTTACTTTTCCTGTACCAGGAGGCCCTTGAATTAAACTTAATGGCCGAGTTAAAACTGTCTTGACCGCATTCATTTGACTGTGATTCAACTCTGGCAATCCTGGAGCTGATAATCTTTTCGGTTGTGTTACCTAAGCTTGGACGATGATACGTAATTATTGACATAACTAACTCTAAATAAAATTTCGTCGACATCATGTCCTAATAATTTCCTGTAGATATAACTGGACACGCTGTGCTGATCTGTAGCAAGCTTGTGCAGAGCTGATTGCATTCGATCGAAAGACACTGAGTTCCAAACTGCTTCGCAAACGAATATAATCCGAGGATCGGTAGGCATTTTTTCGAAGGGGCCGCATTGCATTTCAATACCAATTTCATCACTGTGATCTGAATTCGGGATTAAACTGAAACATGAAAAAAGAACGAACTGTCAGGAATTTTGAAAACTTGGCCTCGGCAAGACCATTCGCTATCAATAGTTTGGCTATGCTTTAGGTTCAACTCATCTCCAATCATAAGCTTCATGCCTGAGAAGAAGGAAAAAGAATTGAACAATTGAGACTGAAACTTACTTCCTTCCATGAATTTGGGCAGTTGAAAAAACGCCAAGTGTTTTCTGTTCAATCCTTGGTCCCAACGAACATGACCAACATTCTGAGTTTGTGATTCTTTGGTTTTTTTATCGTAATCTGCTTCGAGATCAACAAGAGGACCGAAAATTTTGCGATAATGGAATGCATCTTCATACCTTTAAAGCAGTATTTGAGAGATTAGCTCTTGCAATATAAAACATACCGGAGCAGAACTGGATCTGGTTCGGTATCAATACCAGGCTTGTCGAGATCTTCAATTGTTGCATTAGGCAACTCCTTCCATAAATCTTCTAAGCGACTTGCCATTCCAGCTCTAAAAGTAAGATATAATTCTGAATTTGTAATCAACTACTACGTTATATGTCTAGCACGTATTTGAATACCTTCCGTGGGAACGTTGATAATCCAAGGTAAAATCTTAAAAAAAATAATAATACTTCACTCTTCAGGTTAACAAACCTGGCGTTCTCGGATGAGTGGTTCCCACTCATCACCCTGCCAATTCGCATCTTTTTGCGAAGCTATTTGAGCGCAAGGCTGTCTGCACAATATTACCTACAGAAACGTAAGTTAGAAAAAGTGTATAAACTAATGTTTACCACAATTGAATCGGCTTTAGCAGGGATAAAACCAAGAAGAAAGACGTTACGAGCAGCACACTGATAACACTCTAATTGTGTTTCTCCTAGTGGAGATTCGCGATGCAAGCAAATCTGAATGACAAGTTGGACTCTCTCAACACCGATCCAAGTTACCTCTTTGTGGCCACTTCTAACCATATGAGTGATAATGTGCGATCCACTCGTGCTTCCTTTACCATTGCAAAACCATTTCTTACAAATTGTACAAAGAGCTACGCAACTAGGTTCATGGATACCACAGTATCTATAAAACGTAATGAACTGAGCAATATTTTCAGCGAAACCTGCAAGCATGTTCAGGTAGTTTTTCCTCTACTAATTCTTCCTCTTCGTCTACATCTCTGAAAGTCAAATCTACGCTGCTCTCTAATCCAGAAGCGAGCGACATCTTGAAAAACGTTACTAAGAGTTGAAAGAAAATTTACTAACCTGAGAATTTTGGGTAGGCACTGAAAAACGATGATCAAAATCAAAAGTGGAATCCTGAGTAGCTCCATTAATGAGATTATCATCCTCTCCTGTTTCAACAAAGGTGAGAGTCTCGCCCCCTCCCGGTCCATAAACGTCGTCGAACTCCATGGAGTCCTAAATATGATTGAATAGAAAGATATTGTAAAAATGAAAAAAAACATGAAAGCAACAAAACAAGATACATAGCAGAGTCACTATAGTTCTTCAGTCATATATTAAACGCATAAGTCGTTTATATCATTCAGAATATGTACTATCTAACCATGGAGATCACACGGCTTTCTAATAATTTAAAAATTAAAGCTATCTCTCCTACATTACAGATTTATATTGTCACTGGGTAATCAAATTCGCAACAGAGCGCGGGCATAAGTGCATGATGAAATTTGTTCATAAATTTTTCATAGGAATATTTGTTATATTTACTGAGATTATGAACTTTATTACTATACTAGTGTAGAAACAACGATCATGGTTATGTTACTTAACGAGGATGCATGATTCCGCGACCACCATCAACACGAAGTAGCTCCCCAGTCGTAAAGGAGCTACGGCTACTTGCCAAAAACAAAATAGCCTCTGCTACTTCATGAGGTTCTCCTACTCGGCCAAGAGCATGAGTATCTTTTCCTTTTTGAATGAACTGCAATGAGAAGAGAAGTTATAATCGAAGCACTGAAAACGATTTACCTGTTCGTATGCTTCTTCTGTCATTCCGGATCTCAAATGAACACTGGTAACAATTACACCGGGACTAAACGATCATTTCGTATGTAGTAAGTAATGACAGAGAAATATTACTTAACAGCATTAACTCTAACTCCTAATGGAGCCATTTCAAGAGCCAAACACTTGGTGAATTGATCCAAAGCAGCCTTCGACATACAGTAATATGCTACGCCTGGGAACTAAATTATCGAGGAAATTAGAATCATAATGTTTTTGTGCATACTGGACAAGGTCCGGTGATGCTGGAAACATTAACAATTGTTCCCTTCGCTTTGATAATTTCGGGCAGTGCAGCCCTAGTCAGCTTCACCACGCTGGAAAATAATGATCAGAACTGCTAAAAACATTTTCTTCATACTTTCGTACATTCACTTCCATTTGTTTGTCATAGACATCAATATCACATTCGAGCACTGGCCCACTAGTAAGAATTCCGGCGGAATTAATCTGTATTAACCTAGACACTTCGTAGGAAGAAATAAGTTTTACCAATGTATCGATTTGTCCTAAGGTATTCAAAGTATGCTCTATTAAGCCTTTGACAACCGCATCATCCGATAAATCGCCAGCAAAGAATGTTACCTTAAAATCTAATAATACAAATTATTGCGCAACAAATCTACTTTATCCTTATCCACCGACCCCGTAGCAATGCAAGCGTTGACAACTTCTTCCAAGTTCTTCACATCCCGACCAGTGAGAGAGAGGCTATACCCCTCAGCTGCAAAACGAATAGCAGTAGCTCTACCAATTCCGGAAGATGCTCCTATGGTATAGCGAATTGTATAAGATCACACTTCAAAGAAACCTGTAATTACTGCGACCGGCATTATGGTTACCTATAAAAAAACTGCAACTGATGAGCAACACTCTGTTGAAGTATTCATTCGAGTTGAACGAAGAGCATGATATAACTTTGGAAAAATAACACTAGTCTATCTCCACAATTTATTCAAGATCCAAAAAACATAACTTTCCCAAAAATTTATTCAAAAATAGTCAACCTAACGTGGATGCATGATTCCGCGACCACCATCTACTCGGAGTAGTTGACCAGTTGTGAAAGTGCTTTTGTTCGACGCTAGAAAAAGAATAGCTTCAGCTACTTCTGAAACGTTTCCTGGTCGTCCCAAGGCATGAGTCGTTTTGCTCTTCTCCAGAAACTATTAATTATCTTAAAATTTTATGCAACAGTTGCAATAACTTACAGCAGCATAAGTTTGTTCATCCTGGCCAGCACGTCTATGCAAGTTGGTTATGGTGACTCCAGGGCTTCAAGTTGGGAAGTTGTAATGATGAAAGAAGGAAACATACTTAACTGCGTTCACACGAACGCCATGAGGAGCCATCTCCAGAGCCAAACACTTAGTGAACTGATCAACAGCACTTTTCGACATACAATAATACGTGACGTTCGGAAACTATAGGAATGGTTTAGATAAAGCAAAAAGCTGACGATATTACAGGGCATGGACCATTAATGCTGCTCACATTTACAACAGTACCCTTTGTTTCCATGATATGAGGTAAAGAGGCTTTGGTCAAACGAACAAGACTGAAAAATGAGTATAATCTCAAACATCATTCCTGAACAACCTGCGTACGTTAACATCGAACAAGTCATCGTAGATTTTGATGTCACTATCAATAACTGCACCCCCTTTCAAAATCCCAGCTGAATTCACCTAACAACATCGTGTTTCATCTTTTTCTTAAATGGTACATACTAAAGTATCCACTCTATTGAATTTCCCCAACGTTGCTTCGACTATAGAGTTGGGAGATTCCGGCAAAGAGAGATCAGCAGCATAGGTAGCTATCTAATTATAAACATTTCTTTGTTGATTCGTGGTCTCACATCGTTAGAAGTTGATCCCATGGAAATGCATTCCTTCGCAACTTCATTCAATGCATTTTCATTTCGTCCCGTCAGAAGAAGTTTGTATGAGTTTCGTGCAAAGAGGAGGGCAGTAGCTCTTCCAATACCGGAACTGGCACCTGTGCATGCTATTGTATGTATGAAGTATTCATCAATTTTACCTGTTATAATAGCAACTGACATGGCTGTAGAATTCTGTATGTCTAAAACTAATGTATTTCTTGACTGTTATTGTAAATAACAATGTTCAGAATGTTCATCCGAAGAAATCAAATGTTCTAAAACTATTCTCGTCATTCAGAAAATCAATATATTGTATGGTTGGTTAATTTGAAGCAACGCAAGGTAATCTTTCATTACTATCATTGATAAGCCTTCCGTTGAAATAACTGTGTAATAAATTCAAACACAACAACAAACACACACTGAATGTGTACGCAATCGCGTATTTCTCTTCAAGTTCACAAAGCCCTTAATGGATTCATCCTTATTCGACCAGAACATTCGGTTAAGTATAAGCTAAGCTCAAATATATCTGCAATCATACGAAAAAAGCAAAATAAAAGTAGAAATGCACGCAATGCTTTATTTTCCATTTCATTTTCTTTGAAAGTTCAACTAAATGTGTCTCTCTAACATGCCTGCTTCACGATATAAATCTGGCTAAAGTCATAAAAGTTAAACCTTGTTTTGATAAAGTTCTTTCCTGGAATGACGATAACCGCCGGTTTTCTTACCCACCGCTGTAACTTGAACACATTCTTCATTTTCATGCAAATCCGACAGTAGATTGGTTGTTTATGCTCCCTTGTCCCAATAAAATTAAATTTTTTTATAAAAAAAAACTCATAACCATGAAAGGAAAAGCGACAGCGTTCAAGTCATAATTTTTAAATTATGAACTTCATAAATTCGGAAAATAATCAAATTTTTCCTGTTTTCGCAAGAAAAACAGATCGGCCTAGCTACCCATCGGAAATATTCGGAGCACGAGAATCGTCTATTTCTCAATTCATAAAAATACAGAGCGCATAATATTCAAACGGAAAACTGATTGAATAACCAGCCATTCCATGTTTTCGCCCAACAAACACATACCGGAATACAAATCTTCCGATAAAGCAACATCACTATGGAACGCATGAGCCCATTTTCAGAAGACTTGTTACTCTTGCACGTCTAACAGTTTTAACAGCTTTAAATTTGTTTGAAAATAGAATGGTATAAAAGACTGCTAATTATTCATTACAAATGAACTGACAGCTTTATAGCTTGTAAGGTCAGCTGCGTTATTCAGAGATCAGAGAATGCAACCGCTCTGCTTCAAAATGAAAGTGTAAATGAGTTACCATATGTGTGAAGTTCGTTTTGAACTTTCGATCGTCAACAGAATTCAAGAACAGAATTTATTGAAGTTTAACCAATCATTTACTAAGGTACTGGAGATTTGCAAAATAATTTATTTTCTTCAATTCTAAATATGAAAATCACAGAGTTCTGTCCAAATAATTCGAATTATATTGAGGTTACTTAAAGAAGATTAGTTCTTTGTGGGCATTCGTGACAAATTGTGAATGAAGTGGCAATCCATGGCATCAAATGACTGATTATTGGATGAATCATTGATGAAATATGTATTTTCCTTAGTTTTCATAACTATGATATGGTGCAGTTCGCTTTAGCTTTATGTTTTTGCTGAAGACGTTCGATATCGGTGGCATCAATACCACTGTAAGCTCTTGCACTTGGCATGGACTGCCTGAAAAATGATGAAATATAGACAAATAACTAAATATAACTCCAAAGAAATAAATGTACTGACCTCCGTTTACGCAGAACCGAGATTCCTGATCCATTGGAAGAACGTAAACGTTCCAAAGCGTCGTTGATGGCGTCAAGAACCTGGAAAATGATTAATTCATGACGATGAATCCACAATTCACAAAAGACGTATTTCGTTTACTTCAAATTTGTGTCTTCTTCGTATTTTCTACGATAGCTTAGATCATTTTATTTCTCTACAAGAGCTATTTCATTCTGCTGAAGATATTTTTTTTGGCAGATAATATGAATGTTGTTTAAGCTATTGTTGTTCCTTTCAAAAAGATGTTTTGTTCGAAACAAAAAAAAAGGGAGAGAGATATGAAAAAGCGACGTTCAGACAGCACAGAGAAGACTGAAGAAAGATTAAAAGAACGAATTGTTTTCTAACTCCTGTGTTTGTTCTGTTCCAGACTCACCTCATTACGTTCTTTGGCAGTGACCTCGAATAGTGGGATCATGCGGCTGTAAGCAAAGTTATAAGAATCGTGAACTTTCCAATTTTCAATGTTTTCATATAAATCTCTCTTATTTGCAACAAGTATGATCGGAGCCTAAACATATATAAATCTTCAAATGGACATTTGCAAAAGGACAAGTCTCACTTTACGTTGTCGTATTTCCAGAATTTCATCAACTATCTTTTTGGCTTCTTCGAACGAGTCCGGATCATCAACCGAGAAAACAACCTAAATTATAAATAACTCAATTTTGTGTCGATTTTGAGCAAAATTACTATGAATACATGAGCAGTTCGAATATAAAGCTGTCGCATAGCGAGGAAATCACGAGATCCACTGGAATCAATAACCTGTAGATGGTAAACAATATTTTGATATCAGAGCATGTTTTACTTGAAGCATCACATGTGGTCCTCCCTCGTCCGTTTCGTATTCAATCCAGTTGAACTCCTCTACTGTAGGACGATAATCATACGGAAAGCCCTCCCAAAGGAACTGAGACACTAAGGCTGATTTTCCAACCTTAAAATAAGACTTATCATCTTGCTTGAAGAAAACGTCAATCTGCTTTCAATTTTTTAAATACACTGTCTTCCGTCTTTTTTCCTTTTTTTTTGTTCGGAAAGCTTGCTGTACTAAGCCTATCAATTGGTCACACAAAATGATGTTTTGCATTCGACAATTTCAACAAAGCGTATGGAGAAAAAAGAAATTTCATCAAAAGCTAATAGGATACCCTAGATGCTCCTAGAACAGCAAGTGTTATTTCGTACGGCTGCCCCTTTGCTGTTTGGGCATTAGCAGCCCCACGAGGTCTAGCTGCACTTCGACTTCTTTCCAAACGCCGGACAGTTTCCGTGCTATGAATAAGACGAGTCATTTGAACAGAGAACAATGTCGAATTAATAAGCTGAAAAAAAAGTTTACAAGGAAAAAAATGTTATATTAGTACGACTGAGATAAGCAAGATTGTAGAAAGTAATAGAACATTATGTGATGGATACGAATGAAAAAATGAAGTTGATCACATGTTATTAGTTGGAGCACTTCATTGAATAATTAGCACAATTCAAAACTATACTGGTGAAACAAAGACTCAAGATCGTTTGCGAAAACGTTTACAAGTTCTAAAAGAGAATAAGGAACTTTCGAATAATGAGTACTAGTAAGGCTTAAGAACATGTATATTGTCATCGGAGAAATAGTTGAACAATAATATCAAGAAAAACGTTTCTTGAGCGACACACAATATCTGCTAGATGCAAATCAGCAAAGTGAGAAAACGGATGAGCAGCAGATAACACTTTTTAAACACAATGTTTAGCCCAAGTCTGTACGGGCAACATATATTTTCATGTTTTGTTCCAGTCAAAAGCCTAGTTCTGTCTGCCTTCCCTCCATCTTTCTCTTCTCTCCTCTTGTCCCTTTCAACAAGAACATACACATACACATACACACATTCACAATGTAACAAAAAATGAGATGTATGAGATTGGAAAAAAAAAGAAACAATGGTTTTCAAAGAGGAAGAAGAAGCACAACCAATCTATGTGTCAGATAATAGAGGAACACATATCCGTGATGTCCACGTGGCACGCGTGAATGAATTTCTGCAAGACACACGCTTTTGGAATTATTCAAATTTATTAAAATTTCATAAAGCAGAATGTCACGTACATTAGAACCTGAACTATAAACAGAGTGTAGTTTATCATAAAATAAATTTTTAGATACAAATCTTAATGATGCGAATAACAAAATAAGGAGAAGCAAATCGTAGAAGGAGAGAAGAGGAAAAAGATATAGACAGATAAGAACGTTGATTACCATTAGCTTTTTGCATAGCGGAAATGAAGAATGATTTTGCTGGATTCAGGATATTCAAGCGAACATGTAGAAAAGCAGCGAACGATAATGAAAACACGCCACAGGAAACACGGAAAAAGTTATGCTATTACGTCATGCTGGAACTTCAATCTTCCTATTTCACTAGTACTAAATAAGGAAATCTGCGAAAACAGCTATTGATCTGTGGAATTAGAACTTTTTTATAGTATTCTACAAATAAACGATTTGTAGAAGAAAACTTTTATTTTCTTCGATATGGGGGTTCAAAATAGAAAACGACAAAGAAAATCCTCTCTAAACCAACATTAAGCTCCAGAAATGCTTAAAAATTGTAAAGTTGTCTTTTGAAGCATGTCAATAGAAACCAAAGTTATGAAGATTCAAACAACTATGAAGATTTGTCAGTGGTGGCGGAAAAACCGAAAAAATAAAGCTATTTAGCAATCAAATATTAGAGCCATATAATTGGATTATTAGGCTGCCAGCAGCAAAAATTGAGTGGAAATGGCAATTTCGTAAAGAAAAAACATAGAAAGTTAATAGCATAAACCTGATATGGTTTTAAAACAATAAATTTGAAAACAAAAATGAGTCTGAATTGTGCTCCGTAGCACAAGCTGCTGCTGAATAAGTTCAAATGGAATGCAAAAAAAGGCGGGAAAAAAGAGTTCAAGTTGCTTTAACTGTGAAAGGAGAGAGCTATTTTCGTGGCTGATATGTTTTTGATCAGATGCTACCTATATAACACGCAGATATACTTCAATAGATATTGGACTTCCGTTATAATGTCTTCTTTTGCATCATGTGGTAGAATTTTCAAATAACAGTTTGAGCAATCTTTGACCATATAATGATGTAAAGAGATCGCTTCAAGATGTAAATATGATAATTCGATATGTTAATGAAAAAATGTAGCGGAAATCGAGCTGTCTTTGACTAATTACCGGAAATGCTTAAAGCTGTTGCCAGCACGAAATATTTCTCGTCTTTCAACTTTACCGACGTTCATGAATAAGCTCACTAATAAGCTCAATCTCATCCATGGCAGAAAAGAAGTATGAGCACCTAGGATTTGAGGCAGAGCGCAGAGCATTTGTGTCAAAGCATGTTGAAAAGATCGAAAATGGTATCAAAGACAGCTCAAGTTCTGATTGTGGATAAGTGCAATTACGGGGGACATGAAGACAAAATATCATGAAATGCATTGGCAAAGCGTTCTCTTCTCTCGAAGAGTTTACGTAGGAGAAGTTATGTTTTGAGTGAGATGTATGTTGTTTTTGAAGATGACAGACAATTGGGAAATCAACTACACATATCTAACTCTAGAGGTGAGGCGGCAGCTGACAATGAAATGAAAACTGATGAAAAAATATGTAAACGGGTGGGATAGATGTTACGTAAGGAATATGTTGATTGGAAGATTATGAAGCCAAACAAATTCTGAAGTGTTTCGAAACGTATACGCACATCTAACAAGTCGCGTTCACAGAGTTAAAAATAGCGGAAAAGGTTTAGTTGAAGCCCTGAATAGATTGAAAACTGTTTATATCTTATTGCTATTTCTTTGGCTATTCTTGTCGCAAGATTTTTTAAACAAAACAGCAAGGGAAAACTCAAATTCCAAAAAAGAATCTTCACTCAACCAAGAGGACACATATACTTCAAAAGGCAGTGCACAAAGAAGCCGAAGAGGCGGGCAATCATTAGCTGCAAACCGTAGCATCCGTAGCTCAATGACCCTCAAATCTTCATATCAAACTGATTATGGGATAAACAGTCAATAACAGAAAGGAATACTGTCTATCGTAAATATCGAAACTCCAATAAATTATACGATAAAAGGAAAAAACAGTTTCACTTCATTCGTTACTTTTAAATAAGCCAGCGATCGTTAACACAGTAAGTCTTTCACTTAATTAAAGAGTTTTCCATTGTATCTTTCTAAATATATATGTATAGATAGATAGATAGATAGATGGACACAGATATACATTCAAAGGACATGATGGGTACAATTGTCCTTATTTGGATATGAAGATGACTGTAAATAATGTGCTCTCATCAAGTTTGCTTCTCATTTAGGGAAAAATATTCTCAAAGTGGGGCTTGAAACTAGAATGATCTCATGTAGTCAGTTTGATTTAACGAAGCCAGAACGTTTGAAAGATAACGTGATTACGAAAAACAATATAGCACTCTTGTGAGATAATGAAGCTTAAGCAAAAGACAATTGGAACAATCAAAGAGCAAGAGGACATGTTGTTCGTACCCAAACTCTGTTCTTCAAAAGGATATAAAGGATACAAAAACTCGTTTGAAACTAATAAGCTTCCTTTCATCCAAACAAAAAAACTGTTGATTTCGTATTCAACCAATTCTCGCGTCTACAAAAGGTATAACAAAACGTTTACAAGTACGTGATTCTACGTTAAGCCATTGGCAGCAAGCCAACTCTGAGACTTGCAATCAAATTTCAATGAAAAAGCAAAGGGATGCTGTTTTGACTGATGACTAGGTAATCTTAAAAATATTTTGATCAAATCTATTTATTCCATTTCTGATAATAGTAACTTGAGAATACGGAAAAGGTTTTGAAACATAAATAATTCTGTTCTAATATACTTGAATATGGGTTTATGAAAACTGTTTATAACGACTCCAAACAGATTAAAAAAATGTTGATTCCTGTCCAGTTTTCTTCACGAAGAGACGAAGACGTTTTCTTCCATTTTTATGTTCAACAGATGAGCACAAAGATTGATAAACGAGAAATTTACTAATGTGTGGAACTCCTTTCATGAAATTACAGAAAAGGAAAATATTGAAGATGGGAAACACATAAAATAATTAAAAGAATGAAGATTACCACAAACCTTTTTCAATTGACTGCGTTTTCATATTGTAGCTTATCTCCGATCTTTTAGGCATAGCAAATACATTTCTTTGAATTTCAATGAAAATAATTTAAATTTCAAGAAATTGTGATTCGAAATATTGGCTGTGATTATGCGGAGTGAAGATTACTACTCGTTTTTTTTGGTTGTATGCCAAAATAGAGACGAAAGAATTGTTCATTAGAACGGATATGAGAATTCTCACCTTATAAATAACAGAACGAAAGTTAAGTCAAAAAGAGATCCACTGGTGGTTTGTGATTAATTTTGCTTCCAGAGGACAAGAATGTTAGCCAAATCTGGACATCAGAAATATTGATGAAGAGAAAAGAGAGAAAGGCGGAGTAAGCATGTGGGGCTTTCGAGAACGCTGTCTTCTAAGGTTGAAATCTGATCAGCATAGACAAAGAGCTTGGATGAATTCAGGCTTAACTCATTTGGTTAGCATTTTTCTTTCCCGATTCTCTAATTCCTTGATTCTATATCTCTCGTATGCCTTCCCTCTCCTATTTTCGTTTGGTTAAGCGCTGCTTCTGCTCAATTTGTTAGTTCATCTGCTATCGTTTGATGTCCATCTTGCTTCATGAGCTAATTTCGTAAAAAAAGGACAAACAGATGAACATGGCTTCATTTTCAGTTGTTAAAGTATAGTTTTTCATCCCCAATATACATAAAAAAACCAATCCTTAAGCTGATGAAGCCTGGGATTTGACCAAATGGTAACCTAGTATTCTGACATATGAGGAAAATGACCAAAAGCTTGGAGGCCTACGATAACTAGAATCAACAAGAGAGCTTAAAAGGTAAAAGACTACTTCCTATAACAAAATATATAAAATTCATTTAGCATTGTTGTCAGTTGAATACTTTATAAAGAGCGTTAAGCTCAAGCAGTTGCAGATATTTAAAGCTATTTGTGAATCAAAAAACAATCGTATTCACTCAGTATTTAATTGGGTGTTAATTCAAGAAGATTTGTCTGGTTGAAGAAAGTTTTTTGATTCTAATGAAGCTTGTTAAAAAAATGTTGCGAATTCGTTTCACACAATGCCTTAGAATAATATCAGAAAGTCAGGCAAACGTTGACTGGCATTATCCTTCGGCGTATGCGATGGCATGTTGCTGACGTCCTCTCTTTGGAAATTATTCTAGCAATACAATTGTCATTAATTTATTATTCTCAAATTATTAATTCGTCAATAAGCTACATAAAAGCAGCAGTTGATAAAATGGGCAGTTGTAGCTGGAAGAGCACAATGCTCTTTGCTTCCTCTCAAACAATGCAGTGAGCACCGTTAACAGAACAGAAAATGAGAAGTGCGAGTGACATATCATTAGTGAAACACATACAAAAAGGGAAGAGAAACAAGAACTGCGGCTTTGATAGATGCACATTGACCGTCAATGACATAATATCAGACGATGCTATCTCATTTCCGTTTTGTAGCCATTATCTTTTTCATGGTTTTTGCAAGAAAATGGGGCAGCAAGGATTTGTAGATGAATGACTATGAGGACTCTACAATTATAGCGCAAGCGTAAGACACTAATATAGCTGGATCTTGGCTGGAACTAATAATAATCTAACACAAAAATTATTCTTTCCGTTCGTCTTTAGTTCCAGTTGGAACTAATGAGGCGATAAGTCATGAAATACATTTAGTTAGCGAAAAAAGTAATTTTGGGATACTATTACATATCGTTCATTTCTCTCATTGAAGAAAGTTTTACAGATATTTGCCACCCTCATTTTAGTTCAACCCAGAATATTTATTTGCTATGCATGGTAAGTATTCGGGCTGGAATCTGAATCCGTCTTCAGTAAGTCCATATCAGTTGACTCATAGTCATGTGAAAAAGTAAAGCTCACTATTTCTGAACATCAGAACGAGCACATAGCGCTTATAGATTCTATATAAATTCTTTACAAAAGCCAGCTAATTTCGCCATATTGTAGAGATTCTCAAGCCGTAGCCAGTTGTTCCTACTGCAAAAGAAAAATAGCAAAATGAAAGATCAAACCTATATAGTCCATTTAACAATGTTTACATGAAGAATAGTTCTATAACCTTGTTGAATATAATCCAAAGCCCAATGATGTTGATTTTAAAGTACAAATATGTGATTGCCATATGTGTTAGTCATTCAACTCCTCAGAAGTCTCTACGTAACTAAATAGCAAAATATAGAAATAAAAAGACAACATACTGACGACACGTTCGAAGCCAACATCGTACGAAATAATTTAGTTTACTATCAATATATCTTTCTCAGACCTCGAGCTTCTGCTTCGTCATACTCAATCTAATGTTATACCAACACAGCTGAAAATAAAGCGGAAGAAATTCAGTTTTCCTACTTTTAATCTGAAAATACCCCGACACGAACGGAGAAAAGTCTGTGACGGCATCCACAAAACATGAAATTCTATTTACAATTGAATGCTATACAAGGCTTACACCACCAAAAGAAGTCTTCAAAGTTTTCCTTCAAACGACGCTTAATGTAGAAAAAAATTCAAATATGATTGGCGCGTAGCCTTTTCACTTTTGAGTGAGGGCCCAGCCGGTTGCATTCGACTGCCATAATCCACGTTTGCTTGCATTCCCATTTTTTCATCAGAAGCGAGAATTGAATGTGAAGCAAAGATCTATTGAATTTCCCGGATTAAGGATTGAAATTTCAGAAAAGATTTGCAATTTTCAAGACATGAGGACATCGTAGCTCAGAAATGATCGTGCCACGAATAGCCACGACATGTCATCAAATTGCCTACTATAATTTAATAGAAGCGTGCAGTTTGGGATACTGGATCAAAAAACATATGCCGTACGAACTCAAGCTATATTGCTAATGGAGACTATATATTACCTTATATGAATTGGTGAACAATAATCTTGTCGGGCGACTCATGCACCGGATGCATGCTCTTGGTCTTTGATAGACAACGGCAGAAACTGCTCGGACTTATGTACGTTAACCACGCTTTAAACGCTTCATACAGAGTAACTAACGATGTTTGGCCCATTAACAATCAATTGAACCATCACATACTTTCTAGAACCCGAGCGTTTCACTGAAAAGTGTGTAGAATTCAAATAATTTTCCAGGACTTTCGTGTAGTTCTTAGGCTTCAAGCAGATTTATTACAATATATTAGTAATTGTACAGTGAACCATTAAGAGTATATATAATTCGAACGACACGTAATTAGGGGAAGAAATAATTCGGCTTCATACCCGAACTTGAGAGCCGACTTTGAACTTTAGTAAATGTGTCAACGGTACTCATTTGAAAAGCGGCCGGCTAATTAACTTTCAACGGGCACAGCACAAACGTGGACAAAATTATCCGGGTAAGCAATATTTTCTGCTAAGTATGTGAGAGGCGTATTAAGTGGGAGAGATATTCCATGTGAAAAAAACTCAGTAGTACTTATATCCAAATTGGGATACAGCTGAGCTAAAGCTGAAGATAGTGTAGCTTCTTCGCCAGATTCTTGGGTAGGTTTCAGAGGTACCTAAATAGAACATCATTAAGTAAATTTGACTTCAGGTAGTGAGAAGCTTTGAGAGAACCTGTTTGAAAGGTTTCCCACTTTCATATAGTCTCAGAGGGATGTGAAGGAAGGACTGATCCGAGGATGTCAACATTAATCGCTTGTTAACAAGCCAAAATTCTTCAAAATTGTCTAAAATAACGAAATAAAAAACAATAGTGTAGCAGGAGAATAATGTTTTCGCAGCACACGAAAAGTTCTTTCGCTCACTTATACTCACAATGAACGATCCCATTCCAAAGTTGGCGATGATCTTCATCTCTCATGCTATAAATAACCTGAACATGTACACATTAAGTAGATATTTGTAAACAAACAAACTTCAGCTTTTCTTTTCATGAAATCAGCTTCTTTAACACTTTGCATGTACATTTGCTCCATTTGGTCCTTCCTTAAAGCAGTTCCAAGTGGTTTTTCATTTCTTCTAAACATCGTAATAAATTGTTTTTCGGTGCGAAAAAAAAACCTGACTGTTATCGACCAAAACTCTGCTGATTTTGCTTTATACATATCATACAAAACTCCAACTGGATAATAGGCTTTAACTGGCTGTGAACAATATTCCAAAGAAACAGTATCAGGGTCGATTCTTTCATCTTGCTCTCCAAAGAAAAACGAGATAATCTGAGTTTACACTGTGTACGTATATATAGTCATGCTTAATTCATACTTTGGGCAGTTGTAGACAAAAGTATGATATACGAGGTATCATTACATACAAAGGTCTACTATTCTGAGTATCAGAATCTAATATAAACTCAATCGGAACCTTAGATTCCCACACCTTCCTTGCAGTCTCATAATCATATACCATCTGTAAACGTAAGAAAATCGAATGTGGAACAGTTAGATTATTAGTGATATGTGTACGGATTAGAGACCTTCAATCATCGTTCATAACACGAAACTATTAACAACTTCTTTATTAAACTCTTCTCCTCATAAACCTAACTTCGGAGCAATACGAACAATATTCTTACAGGATAACAAAGATTCTCTGTCTAGGATATAAAAAATCATTAGAAATAACATATACACATGTAAACTAGATTCAAAGAGTATCAAAAGCCCACATTACATAACCAAAAAACCTAAATTGGGAAATCGTAAAAACTATTCCCAATTTCTAAGCTAGAAAACGGATTATTATAGTCAGAGAGATCTCCATCACCATATGGGTTAAATATTTGGTGTGCTTGGAGATCTTGGTTATCACCATTCATCATCAGATCACTTCTATCAGGAACTGGATAATCGAAGAGATCCACAGATTGTTGGCTTGAGTTGTAAAACGGATCAGGCATTGATTCTTGAGATCCTCCATGAGTGGCAGGCATATTCTGCATGAGATCTTTAGAAGCGAGAAGTTTCTTTCTCTTGGCTTCAAGATGGGCTGCCACCTACAAAATTAACTAATTATGAATATCATAAAAATGAAACACCTTGCTTTGAACAAGAGCTTTAGTCTTGTGCTCATATTCAAGCTTAGCAGCCTTCTTTCTTTCAATTTCTGCCAAGCTGAGATCGCTGATAGTAGTGCTTAGAGCATTACTTCTTTTGTCTATGGCAGCATGAGATCCCTTTTCTTGTTTAGAGTTCTGCTTTGCATTCTCTATTTTCTTTTTGCGAATCAAAATCTGAACAAGTTAGATGTGATCAGTTACATGAAGTTGTCTTACGGATATATCTTTCATACGGTTCTTTATGAAGTCTTGCATTTCACGATCTTCGTTCTGTCCAACAACAATAACAGAAGGCATCTGAGTGCTCTCAGCACCTAGAGCAGCCATGAGAGAAGTTCCATCATGAGAGTTTCGAAGTGAGTATAGCATATTCTTAGAAAAAAAGGATAGTTCGGATTACAATTTTCAAGAAATACTAACCAATTTGTCAACAGCAGTTCTCTCATGCACCTGATTTTCTATTTTGGTCAAATCTAGGGTGCTATAGAAATCTCGAGATACCTCGGCTCGTTCTTGTCGCCTAAAATTTTCTATAACCGAAAAAACACTCTTTTGAACATACTTTTTTATATCGTCCATATCGATCATACGCATATCGATATCACACTTTTCCAGAATAGTTTCAAGCTCTTCAATCTAATTTCAAAACTATATTAAGAATAAGAATATTCATCTGCTTACGTTCAACTTTGTTAAATCCAGGTTCTTGATCTGGGTGAACAGTGTACTCAAGCAGGATTCATGAGGAGTTCTTCTACGGATTTTGTTGCGTTTAGCTATTCTCTCATCAACTCTTTTTCGTACTGCTCTATAGGCAGCTTTTTCGTATTCAGATTCTGTAACAAACATAAACACTAAGAAAAAGAACTCTTCTTTACCATCCGTTTTCTCATTCACAGGTTCGAAAGCAGCTGTATCATTCTCTGGTACAACTTCTTTCCGTTTACGAGTTGCTTTCGCTTTGGGAGCCTGACGAGTCACTATCTCTGATCCTTTGTTAGTTTCATCAGACGTAGAAGGAGTAGGTTCACAACTATTTCTTGAAGAACTGTCTCTTGATTCTTCTCTGACAGAGTTAGAAGAGGGAGTCTATATAGATAAGAAAATGAATGATAACATGAGCCGAAACTTACAATACTTCCCTCCCAATCATTAGTAGGTGTTAATGGTGACGGGATTCCCGACAAAGGCATATCACAGGTGTGAAGAGAACTTCTGCTCGACAATGTTGCTGAACCTACAGAACTTTCCGAAACAGTAAGTGGTTGCAACATACCAGTACTAGAACGACTAGTTACAGAAGAGCAGCGAGACTGAGATAGCTTCATTGCATGAGCAAAAAGAGCAGGATACAAATATCTAACAAGGTATTAAAGTAAAATAACAAAAATAGCACTTCTTACCTGTATCTACTTGGCAATAACTCTATTTTAGGTCTAGGCATATAGCCATCTTTGATATCAGTTGGAGATCGTTTAATCCAGAACACATCCGTAGGCATGTCTAGAGGGAAATCACATTTCTAAAAGAAAAAAAGAAAATCAAAGTAAACAAAAACAGAATGAAACCAAAAGCGATTTACTCACCTTTTTACCGGTACTTTTACATACCCACCAGACCGTTTGGTAGCCTTGATCATCAATTTCGAGAGGCAAGGCTTCCATGAGATCAAAACAACGGGGACATTTGAGCAATTCACGTTCTTGCTAAATTAATAAATAAGCTTTCGAATTCTATGGAATTAAAAAAAACGCAGCTAAAACCTACAGCTTTTTCGCGAATAATTCTTTGAAACAAGGCTGCCGTAGCCTGATCCCTGTGCTGAGGACCAACCGACATCATCACAAACGTTCTATCGGTATAACTACGGCTTAGTGCTGTAATGATTCGAAGTCCTTTGGTCATTATCCAAACGGACGTAAAACGTCATTGCGAAAATCGCTCGGTGAATCATGGACACCGCTACATACTACTATGAAAGAAAAACTTACAAGCTTACGCGATTGATAACCAACGTTGCGTTGAGATAGAAGAGTGACCATTCCTCTTACAATCTAAATAATCGAATTTAAATTAATATTCAGCTTCATAAGGAGAGTATAAATTAAAGCACAACAGAAACAGCGGTGATCATTGGAACCATCATAAGCCTTTTCGCAATGCTACCGTAACCTTTCGCGTCGGAACCAATTTTACGACTGGTTCATTCAGAAAATAACAGAAAAGAAGATCGGTTGTGCTCAATGATAATATGGATGCCCCATACAGAAAATATAAAAAACGAAATAATTGCGACGTATGTAATTGAAACAAAAATATATAAAACATTAATAATAAAGAACGTTCCAGCATTTATTTAAGAGATCCTGAAAACCAGAAAACTGCAACAATACATGTAACAATAAACAGTGATGAAAAATAGAGCATTGAACGTGGAAACAGGTGTGTGAGATACGATATCAAACCAATTTCTAGAACTTTAAGCTCAATATACGAACAGATGGTAAGCCATCCCAGAGAACAAACTCAGTGCCTATCGCTTTAAAGTTGAGATGTAAAGTACATTGTTCCCACGTATGAAAGCATCGCCGTATTTATTCTTTAATTGGCCGTTGCTATATTCTTCAGTTTGTTCGAGAGCAATGTTCATGAAGCTGAAATGATGTCTAATCGATTGATCGTAATAACTTTCCGATATTTTCATTCTTTTTAAAATATGCGAATTGAACTTAGCAAGCGTTCCCTTTTCATAAATCATTTTTGCAATGGCAAAATCAGACAAGATTAAATTTCTACGCAATATATGCGTAAATGAAAAGCTTATTGCGACAAGATGAGAACAGAACCGGTTCTGCTCTCCAAGTTTTTGAATTTGATCTTTCTCTCTCAATCTTTCTTTCTTGCAGCCCTCATTCATTATTACACAGACCAACAACATACACAGAAGCTGCGAAAGACAATTCATATCGCATAGGATTACTCCCCAGTTTTTTTCCTTGAACTTGAGCGCACCAAAACAGGAGGCTAGTGTTTTACATGGAAAAGACTTACCCATCCAAACAAGCAAGGATGCCTCTGTAATCAACACCAGAATTGAGCTTGACTACAACCGGCTTTCCGATAATCTGCTTCAAGAACTCCGACGGGTTCTGACGCTTACTCATTCTAAATAGAGAATGGAGCTCGAAAACATTGAAAACAAATTCCGGTACTGATTTGGTAGAGAAACAACCACAATCCATAAGAAAAACTAGCATTTTTAGCTGTTTCGAGACTTTACAAGAAAAAAATTCATCGTAGAGGATTCATCCCCAAATATACATACATATGAACGCACATGCAAACCGGAGGAAACAAGATAGGGGAAAGGGTTAATGTTTGAGTCGAGTAAAACTAATTTTCTCCTTGGCCAGAGTCAACATCATCGTCTTCAGCATAATCATCGTCACTGTCATCTCCATAGTCATACATATCATCGTCTGAAACA